GACTGACTTTTGAAGTCGAACCCAAAGCAGTGCCTTACTGGTCGGTGTACAAAGATCAGCAGTACCGATAGCGCAGTTGGACAAATCAACCCATCTAAACTGCGCACTTTTGTCTTTCAGATTAATCAGCACGTTTGCTCTCAAATAGAACTTTGCAGCCATCTGGAATCTCGGGCACGGATTTAGAACACACAACCTTCACTGCACAGCTGTCAACGAGATAGGTATCGGCCTCTCCTCGGCACGTTATATCAAAGAAATTTCCAGTCCTAGGACCATCATCAACAACAGGAAAATCAATTTTCCCGTCAATCAAGTTTCTTCGCAATATGCGCTCATTAACAAACAGTTATATCTTATTTTGTTAGAAAAAATCAATACCCAACACAACTGGAGTATTCATGGCCTTATCCTTTGGACGAACAAGGGCATCTTCCAATCTAAATAAGGTCTTTGCAATTCAAAATTCTAGATTAAATGCTAAAACAATAGTCCTCTTCTCCAACAGAATGTTTATGCTATATGCATTGATCTTTCAATGATTATAATCGATATATTCATTGATAATTGATATACATTGATTTGTCAATGAATATAGTGTGCATCCCTAGTTCTACTACCAATTTACTATTGATTATAGTTTTGTTCGCTTCCGTATCAAGAAGGGATGAGAAAGGAATATCATCGATATGTTCATGTTAAGCAAGGAATCTAACCCTATTAAGGTTCACGAGTTTACCTGGCGTGTTACAATACCCCGATCAAGGCGTATTTTCTTCAGCGTTGCTTGACCTTGACCTGAGCCTCAGCAGCAAGATCACCAGCAGGGCAATCCGGAGATTGCGAGTGAACACTTGCAGCCTCCATCGTCGTCTGTTCATCAGGTGCCGCCGTGAGCGAGGTCTTGAAAACTGGTTCATTCCCCACTCCTGATGTCCCCGCGACCCCGCGAGGATCGTCGAAATACCTAAGTCCGTTGAGGTGGAGTTGTCAATGCTTGAAGCCCTAAAGTGCATGCACTCCGATCATTCAAGGCATCAAGGCAGGGTGGCCCAGTGACCAAGATTGGCGCAGAGAGGTGCGGGTTCGAACCCAGCTCTGTACGCCCGTTTCTGGTCAGAATCGGCAAGGAGGCCGGGCGGTTAAGCACAGCAGAATTTGAATAAGTGAGTTCGAGACCGCAACAAGCTGTGGATGTTCTGCGATGTTAAGAATCGGCGACAGGCCTATGGCCTAATAAACGCTGAAACCGCTATTATTATTATTATTATTAATAACAGTCTCTTGGAGCATATTTCCCCAAGTACTTATCCCTGACAGAAAGGACAACGTAAAGTTCGGTTCGTCTTCCGACATTGAGCCACAAAATGTCCCACTTCGTTGCAGCTGCAGCAAGACTGTCTGGCTCTGCACTTATCTTCAAGGTGTCCAGATTTCCCGCACCACATACAAAATTCATCGTCGGGAATCTGGCGTCGCTGTTATTGTTGCGGAGAACGCTGGTTTGGAACAAACCCGCGGTTGCTTGAGGCGACTTCGGGCCTATTCCTCTGAGAGAGAATGTCACGGCTATCATCTTGAACATGGCAGCCTGCGAATTCAACTCCAATCGCTCGCTCTGACGTCATCCAGGCTGGCTCGCGCACCCGCTCCACTGGTCTCATCCAGGTCACGCGCCAATCTCATCAACAATTTCTAAGGCAGTTTGTATAAATATCCTCGTTCCGTTCAGCTATGGCGTTCAATAGTGCGTACTTCTGGCGAAAACTGTCCAGGCATGGAACGAAGAAACTATTCTCGAGCTTCACGAGCACACTCCTTGTCGTTCTCGTATCCTAGCTGGGCCATATTCATCAAACGCATGCCGTACAGGTAATGTTTCGCACCGGGTTCAATCGTCGCTTTTCTGAATACTCGTTGCCAATAAGACCTCTTGCCGATGTCCCGAGCTTTATAACAGCGTGAGAGCTCGCTTATGAGATACGAGTACTGGCAACACGACGTGCAAAAGCGGCTGTAAACCTCCTTCACTTCACCCGACAAGAACTCGCCTAGATGTCTCGCGCACTCCCTCGAGTTGCCACTCACAAATTGCGGTTGAAGTAATGCTCTTAATTGGAAAATAAATCCTTCAGATGTTGTTGACCACCGACGACAAACCGGTTTGATTTCACTACCTTGGTCGAGAAGATATTACGAGGATAATTGAACAAAATTTCATCTTCCGAAGATGATGCACCTTCTTCTGAATCCGAGATGGTAATGGTCTCGATTGCCACCCATTAAAAACTTTCTCTGAAGTATCGCGACCCGCTTCCTTCACGATAGGCCGGGATCTTCCTTGCCACGCGATTACAATGTTTCCTCACTGACTCGAGTACACGTACTGGAGTCTCCACTACTTTCGCTCGTAAGGTGGACACATCGGTCAGTCATTGGTGTATCTTCCCAGTAATCTGCGTCAGAGAGCACTTCAAGAATATTTTACCATGCACTATATAATTGCTCAATTAATAGCCTTCTCCGAAAATAAACTTACATGAAGATCCCGACCAATCTATCAATAGCATGAAGATCCCGACAAATGATAGTAGATCCCGCCGGTCTTCATTTTACATGAATATACCGACAAATCACCGGCGGCATCTACGCCCCCTGGAAGATAACGCACCAAAAGCTGTTAGTACATAGCATCCGTCTTAGCTGGTCAACCTGATGAAGCAGAGTTCATTCATCATGTGGGACATTGAATTGACGGTTATTTACCCTGCAGGACAGCACTTCCCACTTCAGAATATCCCGGGTAGCTCAGTCGGTAGAGCAAGAGTCCCACGTTGAGGCTCGGTTAATATTCCCACTCTGTTCGAGCCCCAAGTTGGGAGCCAAATGTAGTCGGCTCATCCGTTCCAGGGATTCAGAGTAAACTTGGCACAGACCACAGTAAGAAGCGTGTATTCGAGTCACACAGAGTTACACGTTCACCAATAACCGTTTCATGGCAGGAGCGCGTACCATGCCGCAGTGCTTCACACGCGTGTAAATATCTCAATAAACTACTTGGTTAAGATAAGGCGCGTCACCGACTGACGTATTGGCGCCCTCAATAAACTAGCTCTCGATTCATCCCGCCACTGACCGAAGACACCTCGTCAATTAGCGGGAACTCCGCTAACTAAACATAAGGACAAAATAAAATTTCCTTAAAGAGAGAAATTTGCAATAAAGATAAATTTCCAAAATCAGTGTTTGATGGAAGGCTAGCGTGAGACAGGCTAATACAGAATGTAGGATACAGTCATACAGAAATGTTTAATTTTACCCTACAACAATAGGAGATAGATCAAGTTCATGTTCCAGCTAGCAGTTTGATTTGTTATCTCATTGACTACTCGACACTACATCCCTGCCGTGTCCTTAGTATCCTTAGTATCCTTAGTATTTGTTTGGGACATAGCAGTCCCAGGCCACAATGGATCGCCGCCTCTGATTATCGTTCATCCGCCCTCATTTGGGCCACCTGATGCACGATGCTGTTGCTTGCTTCTCGCCGCTGGTAGTGTTGCAGGGGAGGTCGATCTGTGATTGTGCTCAGGAACACGTCTAGCTGTCTCTTGAAGGTCTCCAGGGTGAACTCCCCCTCTCTTAGATCCCTTGTCGGGACGTATCTACGTTGCTCCACTCGTAACTGGCGCCCAGGCACCTTCAGCTGCTTCGTCGCATTCTGCTAGAGAAGCACCCTGTTTTCCTCGTCACTTTACTCGTGACAGTTGCCTGCAGGATACGTGATAGCTCGTCATAGCTTTCAACTCGTGACTGTCGTTGGATCACACCACGTCATTTCTGTAGACCTCTCCGAGTGCACTGTCTGAAGGACACCTCACTGTCTTGTCGCCCACGTCCTGGGGTCAGAGCTCCACTGCTGGAGCAGCCCCAATGCAGGTCACGTGAGCTGGTTTTACTTGGCAGCAGATAATTCACTTCTCATTCACGTCAAATCAATTCTGTAACGCCGTCCATTTTATGTTTTATCATTGACGATAATTAAGTAAAAGTTTTTTTACATAAATAAAAGACCCTACTAGCTTGCTGCTAACGAGACTGTTAATTTTACTCCCTTTCATTTTGATATTCCTCGGTAACGGAGTTGAAAACTAAATGTAGTCGGGGGTCATCCTCCTACACTGGAAGTAGGTATTAGGTGAGTTGCTAGTGGGCAAACATCCCAGGAACAAGACTGGATAAGAGCAACGACCCAAGATGCTTATTTTCTTAGGGAATGTAAAATCCACAGGCATCAAACTATGGAGGAGGGAGACAAGAACCGCAGCAAAACATGCCAAGAAAACTGCGTGAAAAGTCCCTTAAGAACCCCAAATGCCGCTTAATGGGCTATTCCCAACGCTGTTCTAAAGTTCTCGTGGAAATACCTGTCAATTTAAGAATACCCTTTTCTGAAGTAGAACTCAACTAACGGGACTAGCACACATCGACAAGAAGGCCTTAGGAAGCGTAGCTGGCTGCCGGCTGGCAGCTGCTCCGAACCCAGTGACCCTTCCCCCTTCCCTATAGTAGCTTGAGGGTGCGACACCAGTAGTTGGGGTGGTCACCAGCCGGTCTACATCCTAGCCGCAGAGACAACTGCATGAGCTCGCAGAAAGCAGCCGCAGAGTGAAAGAGCCGGGACACAGGCTTCTGGGGCTGTCAAAAATTGGGGTCCAGAAAAATGCAAGACCAGACGCTAGCAAGCCTTTTGCAGAACATATTTTTTGTAAGGCAATTGTTATCGTTGCAAGCGCAGCGTAATTGCCCCAAGTATGAGCTTCTGCCCAGCCAAAATTGATGTAAAAATCTCGAAATGTATGTAATAGTAATGAACCTGCATAACTTTTTCATCGCTTAATTTGTCTTTAAATATTATTGTGTATGGTCTGAATATTATAACCCAACCGAACGAAAGGATATATAAAAATTTAATTTTTAATTTTTATTTTTGTATTAAATTCTAGCAAAGATTGATTTTTAGATGGATTAAGAAAAACATTGCAAGTACAGAGGTTGTAGTATGTGTTCAAGTTGAAAATTTGAGCAACAAAGAAAGAAATCATAAAATTGTCAAGAAAAAATGATTTAGATTTATTAAAATACAACAGACTCGAGAACTTCCTTCTGCAAAGAAGAACCTGAAATATAATCATTCTTCAAGAGGTTGATTATAATGACTACTAAAGAAAGACAGTGAGAGAAATGTCCCCTTAAAGAAATTGACATTAAAAAGAAAAAAAACGAAAAACCATTGTAAACTGAGTAGCTTAATAACGCTTCGTGTAATTCGGAAAATAAGTAATATTCGGAAGCAACGCTCGAATTTTAAAATTAATATGTTAAGTAATTTTTCAAATTATTCAAAAACTTCACAATAATGTGAACAAATGGTACGAAAATTAACTGACAGAATCATGCGAACAATGTGCTTAATCTATTATATACTCTCAATGTGTTAAATAGAATAGTACAGTACAGGTCAATAGCTCTGACGATAAAATCTCGGATATATTAACACCATAAAGACTTCTATAACAACAATGCTTTCTGAAATCTGACTCACAGACGCATAACTACCGAAACTTGTCAGAAAAATCAATCAATTGATCAAATTACTGTATTTTACTTGTCGTGACCGGTTTATTGTATTAATGTTTCGATTACAATCTGGTAGTGGTTGAAGACTACCAAATTGTAATCGAAATATTATTGCAGCTACAAGTATTTTAGGATAAGGGGAATATAATATTACTGACAAATTGCGATAAAAAGTTTGAGTCAGAGTTAAGAAAACCACCAACTTGCTAACGATACATATAGAAAGACAGCTTTACAGTCATTTAAGTGAGAAATTTGTGTTGAAAATTAGTTAAGTGACTGCATATAGAAGCTAAATTCACTTCCATTTCATAGTCACAGAAATAGTACAGAATTGATAGTTAATACAGTCTAGAACACTCATAAAACACGTATGACGTACAGTGAACTCACAAGCTAAGCTTCATGTTGTGAAACAATAAGTCAACTTCAGGTTTCGAATTTTATGATAATCCTCCAAAAAACGTTTTGAACGTCATGAGAACCTAAAAACAAATTTTTATTATTTTATTGACTCTAAGCTTTGAATGATCGAGTGAATAAAATATTTAAGATTGAAGAAGCGAGTTGGAAGTTCGAGGCCCCCAGCCATTCTACAACACTGTTAACGCTACATTACTGTTATATTATTTTATGCTTTATATATATTCTTCCTTCCAACTTCGCTCGTTGCGAATGGGTTAACAATTTATCTATGAGAGGGCTTCATTAGCCATGGCGAATGATCCAAAACATTTCCGTGTTAAATTTATTGTTTTACGTTCATTGCAAGCCCCTAGAAAATTTCTCTAGCACAAGTGAAACTTTGCTACACCAAAATTTATTTATTTTTTATTTATTTTTGGCAAAACACATCTATTTTCGGCTGATTTCGTCAGATGTGGGTCAACTTATTTGTAAAATACCAATTTAGACGAAATTGTCACGTCAATACTCGTATTTTAAAAAAATAAAATAGTAAAATATCGAAGAATTCATTGGGATTTAAACCCTTCACATAAAATTTTACATCATGTGATTTTATTTCCCAGTTCATCTGTCATGCTTCTTATTGATGAACATTTACAGAGCTTAAAAGAAATAGATATGCGAAAACTCCATTGATAGAATGTTCCACGGCTGTGTTATCAAATTGTGTAAATTTGTATTCTTCTTGCAAGAATTGGATAATGAGTACTTGTTTTTATTTCTGATCCTAATCAGTCATAATTTTTAAGCTCTAAACCTTACCAGTGAGTGCAGTGCATTAAGCCATGCTGAAGGTAAATTAACTGTTCTAGCAAGGCCCCGGCTGATATTTATGAAGACTGAAATATTTATGAGAAGGATACATATTGATTAGATTTATTATACGCAGTGCATTTCAAATTCCGAGGCCTCGTCATTCGGAGTGAAGATAACTGCTGTACCACACTAAATTGACTATAAAGAGAGTTTTAATTATTATTTTCATGCTTCAGCCAATTTTATCGTCAATGAACAGATATGCTTGTAATCGAATCTAACTGTTCCAGACATATTTCTCTTGTTGCTTATCCCAAATTCGCACAAATATACCATTAAGTTAGTTTTTTTTAATACCACAGTTAACACTTCATAATAAATGCTTGTGAATGATATAATCCAATATCCAAAAATAATAATCTTGTTTACTTTGCAACGCTTCAAAAGACAGATCATGTAACTTATTAAACAACTAAGCACCACACAGAACACATCACAGAATATCATAACATGTATGTGCAGTCCATATATTAATTATGGTGTTGTACAACTTCGATAGACTTGAAACATCCGAAAAACTCGATATATCCTAAATTTGAGAGCAATTTTAAGTTCTTCGTAGTATTAAAGTATTATGAACATAAGGCGAAAAATTTCAATTGCTAGTTCAAATTATAGCAGTAGTGCTGTTCACATTCTCAACTGGCATAGATACAACCATAGGAAAATCGTTCGAGAAAGTGATGAATGATCAGCACCTATAATATTCAATGTGAGCTGTATTTGTGAAAACACAGTCTAAATAATGAGTAATAATTAAATTAGTCATGGCAAGTTCGTTTATATAAATCAATTGTTATAAAAGGAGTTCGGGACTCTTAAGATTCAAATTAAGGGTTGTTACGAAACAACTCAATCGGGTAGAAAAATGTCGAACTCTAGGTTGTATTAACCATAAGGAAAAAAAATGATTCAATTGTGCAAGATAGATCTTCAATTATAAAATAATTCTACACACATAGCGGCTAAGAGTAATTTTAGTGATTTTTTTAATGTAGAAGCGTACGGTGTGATTCAAAACTGTGATTGTTCGAGACGAAAACCAGAGAATATCCCGCAGGATCAAGGGGCACAGACGGCCGAGAAGCATGCCAGCACGCTTCTCGTCCTTTGAAAAGTAAACCCGGACACAAAGAAAAAGATTCGATTATTAACCTCACGAACTTTGATATAGCAGAATATGGGAATCCCCACACACGCATTGAGTTCTACTGGAAGATACTTGGGGTTTATCCTGCGGGGAATAATCCATTTCAATGCCAGCGAGCAGACTCCTGGCTTAGGAATCTTAAATATAAACTGATATCGAGGTGGTTACGGAACCGATTTCTCTGTGTTTTGATATTAGTTAGAGTTAAATGAAAAAAAAATTTGGCACTGATAATAATGCTGTCTCCAAGATAATCGATGCTCATATGATATGAAGACGGAAAAAACAGATTGAGTTTGATAAGAAGAAGCTTAGTGAAATCTACGCACAAAAATACGTAAAATAAAAGTTTCTCTAAACGAGCAATATCCACTAAGCACTGTTCTATCGTACACACACGATGACGGAGATATCAGGAGTCTCTAGAAATCCTAAATTTTCACAATAAAACGTTATTTTAGGCTTTGTCATGGCTCGCAGGAAAACTTTTTCGTTGCATGATTATAAATACTTCCGAATTTTGAGGCAGATTCGAATAATTTTAGCATTCAGTCTGATGTTAAAATAAACTTCTTAGGTCAATTTCATTGTACGAAATGATCTTGAAAACAAAATTACTTGAGATAATGATTGGAGTATTTTTTTTATTGACCAAAATATCTGATGACTTATTCTTTCAAAACGGTATGAATATTTTTTGAATGTGGTTACTTAGTACGATTTTTGTATCAATTCCTCACTGCTTTCAAAATGTTTCTCGATCTCGTAAATCTTGAATTATAAAAATTTCTGCTGCACAATTGTCTCGGAATTGAATGAAAGTTGTCTCAGTTTACCATGAGCTGAGACGTACATATTACTGAGCCACCAGTAACCCGAGATGGGTTTCGTTGAAACTGAATTAATATGATTTGTTTCACAAATTTAATGACACGTTTAATATCATACCTAAGAATTTATCATATAGTGAGAATTTGAATGCCTTAAGGAAAGAATTTCCAGTGAAACAATTTGCCTGTTTATAATATGAGATATTTGAGGACATGTTTATTTATGAGCTGAAAAAGCGATCTCGTCTTTCATTTAAGAGAGAAAATTGATGCATCGCTTGCCGTCAGCTGACTCAAAAATCTACCTTGAAATTGATGACCAATTACCGATGAGGATATATTTGTTTAAATCCTAAAATGTTCGCAACATGAGAGAAAGCACTTCAAATCAAATTCAGGTTCCTTATTTTTCAATGGGAATAGCTACCTACACTTCCGACAAAATGTGGCGTATGCGAAGATATGCACAAAAAGGATTTTTTCATATCTTGATTCATTCTTTCTTCTCGTAGAAAAAGTCTACCGAGAAATGTAGACGATTGATTTTAAATTATAAATTCGTTAAGGACATTTCAATGGATACCAAGTGAATCTATCTACCGCACGATAGAGTTTCGCAGAGCGGTGTAAAAAAAGTAATTAATAATATAGATTTGGTGCCAGTAATTCCACTCATTGCTCGCCTGCGACGAACTTGCTGGGAGAGAACGGGCCATGGTGAAGCTGAAGACTGATCCATGAGCAGCTTGAACAGAAGCAATCCCACGTAGTTTTACTTGCTGGAGAATAGCTGATACTGGAAAATAAATCATGATTTTTGTCAGTGAACACAGCGTTAAGAGAAGTTGATTGACGAGTATGCATTTGAACGTGCATAGTCATGTTTAAAAGACGATTTCATCACATTTTAAAATGAAGTATTATTAAAATATCTACCGTCAATAAATGAAACGCATAAAATTTCCTGCACTTAAATTGCAAATTCGGATTTGTGTCTGTATGCCAGTCGGTCGGAAGACTCATAAATACTCAATTATTAGCTAAATTTGCTTAAAATATATTTTATTATTAACATAAAAATGCCGTTGGTTCCAATCAAATCGTCAGTTTTTTTAAGAAATAATCAAAACAATATAGTTTACAATATTTTAACACAGATATTTTGGTTTAATTTTATTTCATTTCAAGGAAATGGTGAATGTACGAATATTTAGTATAAGGAAAACCCCAACATTAACATATTTTTGACAAAAAAGTTTTGGAGGCCAGTTTCATCAACAATTCATCACGGATTCGTCCAAACAAGTCAAATCGATAAAATTAATTACGGATAAATTTACTGAGTATAGGTTAAAACCTAAAATGATATAAATTGCATTAACTAATAAAAGCTATAAAATGAAGATTACAAGCAGATAAAAGACCTTGCCAGTAATACAAACAAAGTTTTTGTCTTAAATGTACTAGGATTCCAAAGTCATAAAATTATAGGTACCGAAGTAAAATGAGTACAAATCAGCACTTTTCTTTAAATGGGTCCACGTTAATTCAAGTGTAAAGACTAACTCTGAATTTGGACGTAGACAATGGCCTGCGTTTGATAGTAACATAATTATTTGCTGCTTATTACTATTGCCCAGTCTTGGTTTAAATAAATTACCAAATAACTGAGTATTTTATTCTTGAAACATTTACTAACGGTAATCTGCGGTGTGAATAGTAATTAATGTAGAAATTAATTCCTTGTTCTGGAATAACGATAGATATTTTTGTTCAGTGTCGTCCTTTCGTGTTTATGAATGGAGATAATGACTCTGCACATTGTCGTAAATAGGGATGACGTTAGACAACTTCGATATTAGATCGGCATAGCACTAGTGCAGGACTTGTCACACTGTGAACCTTCTTGCACATCTACCTCATTCAGCTATCTCCATATTTGAACCATTATTTGAATTACGCTAATAGCGCATTCACTTCAAATTGTTAATCCATAATACTCTTTCCGATTACTATGAGTTTCATCAGTGTAGGTGCTCAAAAGAGCAGGGGGTTCCAGTAGGTCCCTCGGCATTTGCTTCTAGGCTCGACCTAATCTCGGTTAAAGGACAGACAGTGATGTTTTGGTTAATTATTGGACAAAGACGGTGTAAGGAACTGACGAACTTCATACAGAATTGATCTCTGGGTCCAAATGCTAGTCTTACTGGTGATTTCACAACGTAGAAATTATGTGAAGAGATACTAACTCAATAGTCATGGGTCTCTCAAGAGGAGAGACGGCCTGAAGTAACTCTTGTTCTAAGCAGCACGATTAAGACGGTGGCCAAACGCCTTCGCGCGCACATTGGCTATGCTTACACTTACAGGATTGACTCGTCTGATCAAACATCACACTTAATAGCGGGATACCATTACCCTTACAATCAGTAAGTTTAATTTTTCTTCATTGAAAATATGATGAAGTTAATTCAATATAAGTAGTGTACTTTCGAATAGTTAGCAAATGACGGAACTGGCCTTCGAAACTTTTATTATGAAAAATTTTCTGTTGTAAAATTATGTTAAATAATGCAAGGAATAAATGAATGGTTGATATTATGGAAATAACTTCAACCACGCTAAATTATGAAGAATTAGTGCGCCTTAAGGTTTAGTCTGGGGTATAAGCATTTAAAATTGTTAAGGTGCTTTGTTTAAAGTTGGTGGATAATAATATTATAAAAATAAGCGTGATTAGGCGTTAGAATATACTCAAGATGTGATTCACAGATAAAAGCAGAGCAAAGTTTTGTTAAACCATGCAAACAGATTTTAAGTAAAAAATCTCAATTAGCTGTACTTTTATGTCATTTAGTAAACATGTGCAAAAATAAGAAAAATGTCTCAGTATTGCTATAGTATATTCTAGTTAAACATGAGAGAAACTTCGAAGTCATTTAACTTTGTATGGGTCACACTTCATTGGGGGCATATGGCTCTCGATTAACACAGAACTTGATTTTTTTACTCATAAAATTCTTTTCTTTAAATTAGATAATTTTGAGCTTAATTACTGAAGTCCACTGGACGAGCTAAACAATCTGAAAAGAAGAAGCGTTAGTTTGCATATTGAAGCATGGCTGGTGAGCGCAACTTAACTCTCAGGAAGCGACAAACATCAATCAAACTCATACTATTTTATGAAGTTCCGGGTAAATTTAATTAATCTTATTTTATGCAATTAAAAAGTTCATACCATTAGAACTGAACGTTGTATTTCCTTTTCAAGATTAATAGTTTTACATTGCGGAAATAGTGTAATTTTTTACTTCGTCTGCATTTTATTTATTTCGCGTTTGATTTATGTCGAAAGTGCCTAAAAAATTAAGTAAAACTAACCTGTTGCATGAGCCCCATCGGGGTGGAAGAAACTGCAGCTGGACATGTGGTACTTCTTTTCCAGCGCATTTCCCCACAAAACTCAATATATTCCATTAGTGTGCAATGTTTTGGGTGTCTTTCTTATTGGTAGATGGAGTGGCATTTACGAAGGTAGCAAGGGAATTGAAAATTGGTCGGAAATGTAAAAAATTGAATTTTTACAGAGATATAGTTGCACTATAATTTATATATTAGTGTTGTTTGGTGATATCAAAGAAGAACGGGGTGTAAGGTGCATATTTTAAACGTCATGCTTTGAAGGGTGCATTCCGGCACGGACGAAGATGACGTTTAGTCGTAGAGGTGGCCGAATAAAGATGCAGCATGCAACTGGCAGTCTCGTCTGAATACTCACAGTACTCACCACACCGGATGAAAACTGCTGGAGGAGGTTGCTGCTAGAGGTGTTCGACATGAGAGTCGACGGCCTCCGAGATCGGTTAAAGGCAGCATTCATGGACGGTGAGCCCATAGAGGTTGCGGAGGACCTTCTGGAGTCCATGCCCCCAAAAGACGAGATCGAACAAGTTGAGGGCCGCCGACTGGAGGCGTTGGATCCAGGCGTGAGGAGCATGGGCACGCTGCGACTTGTGTTCGCTACCGCAGCGCCCTGTGAGACCCAAGTCCTGAATGAAGTTCGTGCGGTAGCTAGTTCAACTCTATTGGAACCTGGGATACTAGGGACTTTCGATTTAAGACGAGGCAAAATCCGGTGTTGTTGCACTATTGCAGGGAATACTATTGTAACTATTCACTGTAAAGAGTATATAGTCCACCTGCAAATCCAAGATTGCAAACGGGCCAAATTTGGAGCACAGTGCAACTACACGAATTAGAGTGTTAAATTTATTAGGGCCGACATGAAGAAAGCTCTTGCTGTAATGCAGTTGAATCTAACGAGAAATAGTGTGCTGCAATTGGTCAGGAATATTTATTTCAAGAAAATGTAAGTTTCAACGAAGTTACACAGGACCAGAAAACCAATGTTTATTAATTTGCAAGATTATGCAATGTGCATTAAATATTGGCATAGTTTGGGGTCTAGTGCTGGAAGAAAACACGTTATTTTGAAGAACATACGTTTCAATCAGTCTTGACCGAGTAATGAAGAACTGAGCTACATGTGATTGGGAGGCTCTGAACGAAAGACTTCGGCAAGCTAAGTTTTCGGTTATTCCGTGCGCCAAGAAGAGAATGACCGGCACGTACGTAGCGTAACGTCGTGCATGAATTTTTATAATAACTAATAACCTTGGAAAAGTAACGAATTCTGAGGCAATCTCCAGTGCAAAATAACATTAAGCAAATGAAAAAATTTTCATTGTGCAATCAGCGCACATCAAAAAATATTGTTTTTCACCGTTAATAAATGTTATAATAATAAGTAATATCTAATAATTTATACGAGTATATGCTCCTGTTTCATTCGAGTTTGATAAAGGATAATTACGACTTTTAAACAGAATGATAAGACTTAGTTAACGGAAGCTATGGAGACAATAAAATAATATAAGACTTCTAGAGTTAATAGCTCTCTTATGAATATCATTGTGAACATATCAAGCAAGCTCAGTTATTGTACATGACGCACACTGCTAACAAACTACATTTAACTTCAATACTAAGTGTTTGGAGATAATCACTTATCAACATCGCTACCATGATGAAGAGATAAGACTAAAGCATGAAAGTTTTTAAACCATGGATTGTTGAGCGGCATTTTCATCATGAGCAGCAATGTATAATGACTAACTCGTATTGATTTAGCAGGTTTTATTAGCACGTACGAGACATGTTTTGAGAGCGGAAGGTGAGGATTTAGTTAGAGTTTTAGTTTAGCGTGCTTTAATTTATTGTATGGTTTATAGATGTAATACCTAGCGTCCTCTTCAGACCAAGCTCATCTTATTACAGGTACAGCATTTAACTCATTGGCAATAAAAATAGTATCAGACTTTGATAGTGAATGGCCATATATTTTTAGTTTTCCTAAAATTTACTTTCAATTGATGAATTTTTCCCAGTAAAAATGAAATCTTTGTTCAGGCACAAAAGTTGTTCTCATAATACCGAAAATTGAAATGAAAAAGATATTATTGATTTACTATAATTTCTTTACCCTTGACATTAAAGTAGTAGACACGACTAAAATGTTTCAAATGACTGGTAAACTATTGCAATATAGATATTCGGATTCTGATCTTCTTTTCAAGCCTGAGCAAAAATGTTGGCACTAACACTGCAATCCCAAATGATTTGAAAATGTTTAAAATTTGAATTATTATGTTTTTCTAAATTTCCGTCGAATTCTAAAAAATCTCGGCAGATGAACTATTTGGCCGAAATTAACATTGAAGACAACGTAGCAACATTGAAGACAACGTAGCAACATTGAAGATAACGTAGCAACATTGAAGACAACGTAGCAATATTAAAGACAACGTAGCTTTTGACTACACCGCATCGTAGAACGATAAGATAGAGCTTGGCCAAAGTTAGGCGCTGATATTGGCTGTCATTAAGATTACCTTTGCGTCCACAGAGGAGCACAGGAGGGAGCAGGACGAAGCGCAACAGAAGAAAGCACAGAGTGAGACACCGGTAGAGACACGCTTTACATGTACACTTATTTTATTGGCATCAATCTCCAACAAGACGAGCTACTTCTGCATGGCGTAAACAATGGATTTAAAGTAAACTGTGAGTACTCAACGCAAGATATCTTCAACACGGAAACTTGTGAAAAACGTTAGTGCATAATGATGATCTGGACATCACTTGTGACGAGTGATTACATGGTAATGATTTAGACATCACTTGTGAAGGGTGATTACATGACAATGATTTGGACATCACTTGTGAAGGGTGATTACATGACAATGATTTGGGCATCACTTGTGAAGGGCGTTAGTAGCTGGTAATGATTAGGTCATCATATGTGAAGGGTGTACATAAACGATGATCGAAGGCATAGGATGACCGCCATTTTTAATGTGCATAAATAAATTCCGTTTCTTGTTTGAAATTTGAGGTAATGTTGTCTAAGCAGTCCAATTTAAATGTCTCAGCGGTTCAAGATTAACTGCGTAGAAGCGCTTATATCCATTCATTGCAGACAATGGAATGTGAAGCAAGTAGATAATTCATCTTTATTGAAACCTGGGATACTAAGTTAAAAAAGTAACTGGAATAAAAAAAGTCCAAGTTATGAATTGATCAAATCTCTTTGTGATATGTCATAAATAAGCCTGTGTAGTAACGATAATTACGACTATTCAATGGGAATAATTTAAATTTCATGAAAACAATGACGATTATCTGAGAAATAATAGTAATTTCATGAAAACCACGAACATAAAGAAAATGGCGAGTAAATCATTAGATAAGTCGAATAGAGAAATTGGGGCTTGACTATATGCTGCACAGATTAAGGTTAAAGCAGCCTTATCTAAATGAGAGTAATCGGAATATTGGTATGATTTCAAAGCAGATCGATCAATGAGTTATAATGTTATGAAAAATAATTATACATACAATTTTTTCATGAGTACTTTTTCCAACATTGTCATGAACAAGATGAGAAGTTTATTTAAACATTTTTTTCAATAATAATTTAATGACAAGATAATATTGATGTAATCGGTTTCTGAAAAGTTCAATAGCAGACTGACTGTAGCACGTCAACGTGAAATTTTAGTGATTCAAGGATGATTGAACAAAGATTTTGAAGTTATTCGAAACCAAAAGTCACAGAAACTGTTTTTGACGACATAAATTAGACATAACACAATATCTTGGCAGAAAATATAATTCACACAACACAATTACTTAATATTGAATGAATATAGAGGTTATGATCCAAATGATTTACGCTTTTATTTCTCCCACAACTGTAGCTTCTGCCACATGACCTTCAAAATATCCAGAAATACCTTTTAATTATTTGAACGTTTTCGTCATTATATTTCTTTTAATACGCGCATTTATGTAACCCAATGAAAGATTTATCCATTCGAATTCCAAAATAGTTTATTTACGATGCGTGTTTTTACGATGAATCGCTTTGAAATTGCGTCGCCGCAGCTCTGCGGCCGCCGTTTAGCGCATGTGCGCCGTACGGAGCTACATGTGTTGGGAAGCCATAGGCACCATTACGTTGTAGCGGGCCAGCCATGGCCGCGCTATTAGTTTTCTTCAGCCGCCGCACCTCTCTATCGGAGACTGAAGAAAAAAAGTATGCGTAGGTAGTTATCGCGGGAAGCAGCGGATTACTAGTAAGCAGCCTACACTTGCCTGACCTACCGCACTTTGTAATGATTGTAAATATCTGTAATTAATATCCATAGAATGTCTGTATTCGTAAACATATATGCATTTAGTGATAGTCCTGTGTCGTGTATGCCGGTTTTCCATGAAATTTAAGTAAACCTTATGGCCTTTGAAAATTTGCTGAACCAGTTTTGATTCATCCTCGTACGTTAGGGCCCGCTTGCAGAGACCCAGTAACTTTGTGTATGAAGCGTAGTTATCCCGCTACAACGTGACCATCCGATTGAGGCTACACCTGTTCACTGTTCTATTGAGAAAAGTGCAAAGGGGTTCTACTCTGTGCTAAAGGCTTCAAATCACTCGACATTCAGCGCCTAATCAGTAAAGTGTAAGGTGAAGCCATTGTGAGTGATGGAATGGTCCGGAAAAGCGTTAGGGTCTTTAAATATAGCAACACAAACATTAATAATGAGGAGCGAAGTGGGAGACCTTCAGTCTTTACCGATGATCTGATTACAAAACTAGACTGTAAAGTGGCGGAAAACGGACGATTCCTGATTTTGTGCTTGTGTGTTTTTTTACGAAATGTCTAATCAGACGACAAACTTCCTTGACGTTCGAAATTGTGTAGAAAAGTAGAGTAAAGCATGGTTTTTCAAGTGAATAAACTATTTTGGAAAAAATTACATGTCAAAACGGTGCTCAGTTTAAAAACACGCCTCGTAAAATCAAATATCTTATACACGTTTATTACATTTATTGCATTCATATTTCCATAAAATCTACTTGAAGCATTAAGCAACAATCAAAGTTTTTTATAAAGACTTTTTTAAATGTTTAAATGCATTTAACATTTTATATGAGTTTAAACAATTTCTTAGGCCTGTAGGCATTAATAGGGGTTTTTCGAAGTCAACAAAGGCTTTTAAGGTTTTTAAAGGTTATTAAATGAGTTTCCAAATGATCAGGTGGCAGAACCTCGCTGTGTGACCGCATGCAGCCATGCAGGGGACACGTGTGTTATTGAGGGCGTTATTAGGGATACACCAACATTGATGAGAGGCAGAACAACAAGAGCAGTGGTTGCATTTCTCGGAGAGTCCATTCACAGAACAATAACTGTCCCCACACAGAACCATTTTTAAGCATAGCTCTCACCCCTATTAACAATGGATTGAGTTGAAATTGATTTATTCAATAAATTTTGCATATTGTTTTGCAATGAAAGCGGTAGTAGGGGCTTAGGAAATTTGAAAAAATATATTTGAATAAAAAGTTAATCCCAAAATATCATCTAATATTTATTTTATTTTTTAGAAAATTTATTTGGAGTCCTGCATGTGCCACTGACAGTTGCCTTGAAATGAAATAATTATTTAGTTTAGTTTATAGAACGTGAAGTAGGAATTTAATATAGTATGGAAGAATTATATGTCACTATTATTCCAACAAAGCCTTTAATTTTGTTTACAAATTATATTGATTGAACCGGAAGATAGAGCTGGTTTCAAAGTTGAATAATGAATATATAAATTAGAAATGCGGATGCAAAGTTTGAGAGACAATCAACCAAAATTAAACAATTAAAATAAACTGAATGATGGGTATAAATATGAGCAAAGAATGATGACCTGTAAAGTTAAGCAGAGCGGGGGGGAGGGGAGGTAGCGTCGTGGGGGAGACCATGCGCCCCCCCTGTTAACTGCACCCCCACTTACCAGGGATCGGCACAGCTGTGGGCAGAGACAAAGTTATCAAATCGTCGGTGAATTATCGATGGCAATTGCATGGCCGACGAAACACGCCGATTCACCCGCGCATGAGTTGCAATGAGGACATAATCGCCTTCATTAAACTGAGTGGGTGATCACAGACTAATACTGGCGTAGTTGGTAGAATTGGTGACGACCGGAAAGCGTCGAAATGAAATTCACAAGTGCGGCCATGCTTGGCGTGTACTTGGAGAAAAACGCACTCTACAACCCCTTAAGGGTGAGTTTAAGAGTGGAGATTCTTCCTCAAGGGCATGTAAAGGCGGTTTTGGAAGAGATGTTTATTTTACCCAGAAAATTTGAAGGGTGCGTTTGGAAGAGATGCATTTTCGGTCTCATAACTTTTAAAGGTTAGTTTCGAAAAGTGATGCAAATTTCTCTAGGAACTTTGAACGGTGCGTTTGTAGGAGAGATGCAAGAAATGTGCTTATATTGAAGGTCTTTAATTACAGTGTGAGTACGAATGAAAGGTGAATGTTTTTCTGAGCCCTTAAAGCGCGTGTCTAGAAGAAAATGTAATCTCTATTTTTGACCTTTTCAACGAGGTCGCTTGAATGAGATGAGCATGTTTCAACTAGTATACTCTAAGACGGAGTGTTTGAAAGAGAGCCGTATGTTTCCATTAATTAGAACCCTATAATACGTTCGATCGAAAGAATGACACATCGTTTTTCTAACACTATTAAAGGGATGACTGTAGAAAGGCTCATGTGTCTATTAAAATCGTATGAAATGTTTATTTGATTAAAAAAGTATGTTTTTTTTTAAAATTTCCTGTAGATTTGTATTTGTAGAGCATATTGTGTTCTTATGCCCGTATGGCTACAGTTGTCTGAAGAACCAGTGGTGGAGACAGTCAATTTGCAATATATTTATTTTAAATATAATATATTTATAGTTTTACTCGCATAAATCAGAAATGGAGTTGCATCCTGCGTCCTAAGTTTAATTCAAAAAAGGTTTTCAAGCATCGTTGCGCAGTCATGGATGATCCTAGAAGGAGTTTGTGTCTTGCTCGATCGGAAATCGGTAAGGAAATAAATGAACATTTGAATTCAAGATACGAATCGCAAATAATTCAAATATGGTTACATTTTTCTATTTTTCAATCCAAATTTATGAATTAATAACAACATTAAATCACCGAGGTCAGTCATGATATTTTCAAGGGTTTACCTGATTTCGATAGTGGACGTAATTAAAGGAAAAATCTTTCTATCATGCGATTAATCAGAAATCGGTAAAAAGATGACCAATTTGAGTGAAATCAACCGCAAAGAAACTTATTTGCTCAGGATGACATCTGGTCAGACGAGAAGCTCTGGACATTTTCGGTACACGTTTTGCATGAATCAAAGAAGTTTAAAATGATCCGAAGTTGAAGTATATCACATGACACCATCTGTGCAGTAATCATACATTACCTATCAAGCAAGTAGGAGGCAAGCAAGGCCATTTCAACAATGAGTTCAGTTTGAGTGTCATTACATCATGCATAATGTCATGCCGTGTAGTGTATAAATTTGTGCAGACACAATGTTTACAGAAAATTAGAAATTAGTGAATTCACTACGACGTGTATGGTCTATCGAGATGAATCTTTTGGGTCATGTTAATGTAAGTACACAATAAAATATCTTCAAACTTATCAAGCATTTGCTATCTATACAGCTACATTCACATACATTTTGTGCTTTGCCGTTAGGCGTCCGCGAGTGCAGTAAGATCGGCATATCTAATCTACAAGCAAGGCATTCAGCTTCTGACATATTAACTTAATTCGAAAGTAAAAAATATTTTGGTATGATAATAAAAAATACGAAATTAATTTAAAACTAATCAGCACTTCCGGCCTGTCTTTCAAAAAGTTCGCCCTGATCAATAATGCCCGCGTTGCCTAATAGATTGTTACCATTACTGTGCTAAAAGTTTTCTAGGTATCCGAGCAGACAAGAAATTAATCATACATTGGGTTTCCTGTATAACAAGAGCCTCAAGTAGCTATGCCCTCAGAACGAGACCGAGAAACAGTGGTGCTGGCTAGAAGTATTCTACACTAATTGACAACTTTTCCGACTTAATTATCCACTGTCAGCTGAGCAAAATAGTTCTGTGGATCATTTGTGTGGGTTGGAAAGCATATTTGTTGTCGATTTTGAAACTGGCTTTGTTTTTCCTCTAGCACTTCTTATTTTAGAAATATTTGAAGTTTTTGTGAAATATATATAATATATATCTATGTATTGATAATTATATTATTGTTAATAATATCACAACGAATATTTAACTGGTCAACCTCAAGTAATGTATTTCTGAAGTAAAATTTTCTATATTACAGGCGAGGAAAAATGAAGAATTTACAGGTGGATAAAGAAAAAAAAAACATTCTCACCCCCCCTACCGTAGGCGGGGACAGATTCATGCAAGTGGACCCCCTTCTTTCGGCCCCAAAACTGGAGTGTCTCCTGATGGGGAAGGCCCCGAGGGAGCCGTCGCCGGGGGAGGAGCAGGAGGAATGGTTCACGTGGATGCGGGGCGGCATGATGAGGGAGTTGTCAGAGAGACGTCGCCCGATGAACGACGATTGAACGCGCAACAAGTGCGAGTCTGGCGAGGACGGACCTGGGGCATGGAGGGCAGTTAGTGGCATGCGTGACGTCACCCCCTGTGAGGGGAGCAGTTAGTGGCATGCGTGACGTCATCGCGAGTGAGGGGAGCAGTTAGTGGCATGCGTGACGTCATCGCGAGTGAGGGGAGCAGTTAGTGGTATGCGTGACGTCATCGCGAGTGAAGGGAGTAGCTAGTACATAAACTACATATCACGGTTTCATAGTTAGCACCTGACATTTTTGAGAAGAATACAGTGTATTTTTCAGCTTCACGGCGCCTGAGATCAGCAGATCGTCATGTTATTGGGCAAACAATGTTGCAAAGGTCACCATTATGATGTATTTACGGCATCACAGCGACTACAGGGGAAGAAGTTGGATCTGCGAGTAAGATGAAATTACGGTGAGGGCGATAAGACATGTATGATGAGTGGAGCAGCTAGAGCAACGTTCCCTCTTGGCAGCATTTGACATGCAGTAGCTAGATTAGGATTTGCCATTGTGAAGAGTTAGACTTGTTCAACATCGGCAGTACTATAAAAAATATATAGTTCCAAGTTTGTAGCTCTATAAGCCAATAACTGACAACTTTTCAAGCTAAAATCACTAAACACAGACGAGAAATCGGCCTCTACATGTGCCCAGGCCGCTGGGTCTACGTGAGCGAGTTTCGATGGCATGGACCCATAGCTATAGATTCGCTTTTGGCCACGTAACTACGCGTAAATATTGCAAGTACAATTAAAAGTAGAAGTATTAGTGAAAGTATAAGTGAAATAAACGAATATTATTCTAATATTCTTTGAACAAGCTAAATGTATATAACAAAATTTTCAGTGAATGCAGACGTTGCTTAAGATTTCTTTTTGATGCATAAGCATCAGTAAGTTCTCAAATATCAAGCTAAAGTTTTGTGGCTAAGACTCAACCCAATGTACTGTCATTCACCGAATATGAAGTCTTATAAGCTCTTCAACTTTGATGCTAATAAATGATTAGATATATTTACAGATAAATGCTCATGCTTAGTTAAAATCGCTTCGCAAATGCTGCATGCATTTATGGATGCTGCCAGAACTGTATATATATTATCGTTCATAATGCACTGGTAACTAAGTGCGCACAGTGAAGAAATTGCGAATATAATATCATGCAGGAATGTGGAGCGAAGGAAATTAAACATATAACACAATAATGCCCATGCAGTGAAGCATGAGATCGTTTGAGCTTGTGATGAGCGAAGCTGTGATGAGTGAAGCTGTGATGAGTGAAGCTGTTATAATGATTGGCTGTGATAAGCAAAGTTACAATCATTAGAGCTCGCAGTGGATGAAGAATGTGATGACAGAAGCATGTCATGAGAGCAGCATGCGATGAGACATGCATGTGATGAGAGAAGCATGTGATGAGAGAAGCATGTGATGAGAGTAGCATGTGATGAGAGAAGCATGTGATGAGAGTAGCATGTGATGAGAGAAGCATGTGATGAGAGTAGCATGTGATGAGAGAAGCATGTGATGAGAGTAGCATGTGATGAGAGAAGCATGTGATGAGAGTAGCATGTGATGAGAGAAGCATGTGATGAGAGTAGCATGTGATGAGAGAAGCATGTGATGAGAGTAGCATGTGATGAGAGAAGCATGTGATGAGAGTAGCATGTGATGAGAGAAGCATGTGATGAGAGTAGCATGTGATGAGAGAAGCATGTGATGAGAGTAGCATGTGATGAGAGAAGCATGTGATGAGAGTAGCATGTGATGAGAGAAGCATGTGATGAGAGTAGCATGTGATGAGAGAAGCATGTGATGAGAGTAGCATGTGATGAGAGAAGNGAAGCATGTGATGAGTGAAGCATGTGATGAGTGAAGCATGTGATGAGTGAAGCATGTGATGAGTGAAGCATGTGATGAGTGAAGCATGTGATGAGAGTAGCATGTGATGAGTGAAGCATGTGATGTGTGAAGCATGTGATGACAGTAGCATGTGATGAGAGTAGCATGTGATGAGAGTAGCATGTGATGAGCGAAGCATGTGATGAGTGTAGCATGTGATGAGAGTAGCATGTGATGAGAGTAGCTTGTGATGAGCGAAGCATGTGATGAGTGAAGCATGTGATGAGTGAAGCATGTAATCAAGCAGAGAAGCACAAGGCACTCACCACCAACAGACGCTGGGTAGGCCGAGCGTTCACACGCCGGAGCAGAAAGCAAATAATTGCCATCAAATTAGACACTGAGAAACAAAATGTCCAGGCGTTTATTAGAAGTAAGCAAACAAGTAGAAGATGTAGCACAGGTGTGATGAGGAAATTTCAAATTTTAAACTTTATTAGTTTAATGAATTATGTTCAATCCAATTGATTCTTTTTTAAAATTATTTCTTGTGATGGTAAATTCATAAAATTTGGAATTTTTGAACCCAATAGCTTGAATACTTATCATTAAGTGAGAGTTCCGAATTGTTATATAGGACTCGGTGAACTTTAATAAGAAATAAAAACTCGGTAAATTTTAATAAGAATTTCAAAATCTAATATTATTTACTATTCAATTTAAGCAATAATTCCTTAAACGGTCTCGCTCTGAGTCGGCAAAGTCGATCATCACCGGCCGAAATAAAAACTTAGTTACATGCCATGAAATAACGAAGGAGTAAACGTAAAAAACTTAAAAAAAAAATTATTATAAATTGTAAAGCCGAATGAGTAGAATGGGTATCTAACTAAAATGGAAAAAATATAACTCAGTACTCACTGCAGTGAGTGACAGAGAGCGCATTTTCTCGTCGACGAAAACGTGGTCACGGACGGTCAGTCAGACAGACAGACGGACGGACATGACGAGCACAATAGCGCCTTTTTCCATAAATAAAAAAATGCGCTAAAAAGGATGGTATTTCTGTTCGTCAAGGTAATTATATTAATAGAAAGTTTATGATTAATCCAATTCAATTAAAATTTGCCACGAGACGGAGAAGAATCAAATGCAAAAACGGGAAAGAATATGACTGTGCAGGTTATTTATATAAAATAATTACTAAATAATAAGAGAAAAAAATGATCAAGAAAGTTTGTACACAGAGTACCGAGGCCGTAGACACGTAAAGCAAAAATAAACAGCTCAACTGACGTTAAAATAGATGGAGGAACTAAATTGGAGGCTCTATAAATAACAATTGATATAGAAATGTACAACAGGACGTAAATGTACATATATGCAAAAACAGTAATAAAAAGAGATAAGAAGAAGTGAGCTGGTGGTAATTTTTAAAATATTTCATGACCTTTTAATGCCAAGACTCAAGAAAGAGAACATTGAATATACAAAAAATTCATAAATAGAGCACAAAAAGACGCGAATTTTTAATACGAATCCACATATTTACAAGAAACGAAATAAGAACTTGAATTTTTAGACATGAAACAGGTAGAGGTGAGGCGGGGCAAAGTGTTAATACAAGAAAACAACAACATAGAAAAAATGTTTAGAACTTTGAAAATATATTTAGAACTATTTTAAACCTTAAAAAATACTTGATGATCGAAGACAACATATCCATAAAAACGAACAAAAAGAAGAGGCCGGTGAGACCGCACTTTACCTGACCGCGAGAGCCCGAGGAAGTTGATACCTGATGAGCCTCTCCTGGACCAGAAATCTTCAGCGCTCGTAGACATGCGCGGGTCGTGGATCTTGACGCCAGGCACCGATGATGAGAAGGGCGACAGGTTCATGTTGTCGCTGCTGAGCTGGTGTCGCAGCATCCGCTTGTCGCCCGGACTAGACAGGCTGTCCAGCTTCAGCTTGTTGCGTTGCTGTCTGTTATAGTCATGTATTGTTATAAAGACTGAACGTTTTTGGAAATAATATTTTTGAAGCAGGTGGATAATATACTCATTTAAATGAAATAATAAGTTATCAGAAATATTTTGTTGTTGGCGAGTAAGTTGAGTTTTGTTGAAATAAAAACACAAAGGGCGAGGAAAATCTTGATGTTGTTTGGCCTTGTTATGTCATGTATTATTATAGAGACTAACCACCTTTTGGAAATAATATTTTTGAAGCGGGTGGATAATATGTTCATTTATCTGAAATAATGATAAGTTATCAGAAATATTTCGTTGTTGATACGTGACTTACTTTTCGATGACATCGAGCATTTCGTAGATGGTGCCGAGAATAAATGAGAAATGCTCTAACTGCAGAGTTGGATATACAGTTAACGGCAAGAGAGATGGCAGCACGCGGTTCGCCAGCTGGTTGATGCTCAGGCCAAACTTCTTGTCGTGCAGCATTAGCCGGTAGATGTCTGTAAGTTGAGTCTTGTTGTACAAAAAACACAGCGAGCGAGGAAAATTATGTAATTTTATATAAAATTATGTGGCCTTATTATGTAAAGTATATAAGCGTCAAAATTATCGAGTAACCATCAAACCATTAGTGCATGAGGATGACAACTTGATAGGTGTGTGACAAATAAAAAGAACGTACTAAGAAAATACATTTCTGAGCGAACTTTTAACCTCACGAATCTGTAACGCTTTTTTACAACACCTCTCTTTAAGTTCACTTCTTGTTTGTTAATCTTTGTTAATCTGTCTGCTACAAATCTTATAATCGATTTTTAACACACTTCTACCTTTCCAATCGATCTGAAATTTTGCACACTTGCGTAAGGTTGGAGACAATGCATGAATCAATCGACAGAATATATAATTTTTGAAATTCATTTTTTAATTAAAAAAAAATAGAAAAAATAATTTTGTCTTCAACAAATCTTATAAACGACATACAACACACTTCTACCTGTCCAATCAATCTGAAATTTTGCACACTTGCGTAAAGTCGGAGACAATGCATGAATTAATTGACACAGTAAATAATTTTGAAAATTAATTTTTTTTCATACATTAAAAAAACTTAAAATTAATTTTTAATAAATGGAAATGGAATTAGAAATTCGTTGTAGATGTGTAACATCGGAGACACTGTATTCTTTAGAAGTGTCGTCTTTGAAAAGTAATTTTTAAACGCATATTATTATGTTTCCATGCAGCCGGAGCTGGTCAGCAGCAATTAATTTATTGTTTAGGATTACTATTTAGGGTCTATGAATAGGTAATATTTGTGATCCAGTTTTCATAGTTGACAATTTCTGACAGCGTTTGGTCTCATAAGGAATATTGGAGGTCATGAAGCCATTGCGAATAAGATATTTGTTTTGATATTTTTGACATGGCTTGTTATTGAAATTGAATAAAATATAGCTTCATTCCAAATTAAATAAGGATCAATATGTACCGTTCACTTCAGGGTAAAAATGTACCATGTGTATCACGATGCAGAATACTGTAGTAAAAATAGTAAGTCTCTTGTCAGCACACTGAAAATAAACACGCAATACGTGCCCTGAACAAATTGAATAAAAATTAGATCGAATGGATGGTGCTCAAATCTGAAATTAATATAAAGGGCATTGGATACAAATTGTTTCAGCCTGACCAATTTGCTCCAGCATAATTGCCAATTACAATGGCAGAGGATCCATGAAACGAGGAAAAATAGCGGTCGGTTAACTGTTGCGTCAAAAAATCTTTGAGTCAGCGAATGGCTTCAATTGATTTCATCTATAATTGAATATTCAGCGATTCAATTCATCACACAAAACGCACGTCAAAAAGCAAATTGAAGCTTACGAGGAACGTTTAGGAAAACGGATCCCGCCAACTTGGATAAAATCTTGTATAATTTGTGAACAAATAACAATTCATCAACAAGTTAAGATAAACTATGGTTTTTCGATAGGATAACATTAATTCTATTTCATTTACGATGATGATTTAGTAATATTGAATGACACACGAAATCCCACAATACTGAAATATCAGAAGTAACATGCGTAGACTTTTTCCAGATTGTACCTGGATCCACTGACTAGTTTTTTAACTTTCAGCATTTTTGTGATAGTTTAATATAATGATCTAACCATGAGACTTGTTTTACTCACTGACGACTTTAACAGTAACTTCAGCATCCTGAAGCTTAACGTCGTACAGAATTGGTAACACGTCGTCGATGATTGACGACCGCTCCAGCTGCTCGCATAAAAATTGATAGAAAAAAGGAAAATAATTAATTAACAATCAATAAAAATCTGATTCTCTCTTTTTTAACGCTGTTTCATTGTTTTGAGGGAAAATTCTGAAAGATCATCTAGATATTTCTCTTGAGTTTTGTTATAGACATTGACAAATCGACAGCTTTCTCGATTTGTAAATTTATCGACATTTGGCAACTACGCCAACAAGCTTAGTTTGGCATGAGTACTATTTTGAGAAAAGACAAAAAGTTGCATTTTCCTCGAGATCCACAAATTATTTGAATCCAGCAGTTAGGTGAGTGAGTTATTACTTGTAGCAAATATAATTCATATGCAATTTTTAAAAAGGACTGAAAAGTGCATAAAAGAAATCGACTTTGTTAAAAAGGCCATTTAAAATTCATGTAAGTGGATTAATATGCATTGATATCTCTATGAGCAAGATATCAATGAGAACTACATCACCTTATCTAATATTTTTTCGAGGCAGCTGAAGACTGTGAGGCAAAGATGAACGTCATTGGGGTTCTGTGCATAAATGTTCTTCGCTCTTGGCAAAACTTTCATCTTGATTTCTTCAACGCCCAGAAATTGTGAGTTGTGAGTAGCTGCTGTAAGCGCCGCAACCTGCAAGTAAAACGATATAAAAAATAAATTATTGCAGTCGGTGATGAATAATAAAAATGAAAGTCTTTGAATACCTCGCTGCAATAGAAATTGATCGCGTAAACGTGATGTTGAATTCCTAAAAAATAATTCACAGTATCAACTGGAACGTTTTTTGCGGCTTAGGTCATGAATATTGCTGCAAGCCTAATTGAAAGTTTTTCAGTATTATTACATCCACAATAGAGAGTTAAGAAATAGAGTTTTGTTTCAAAATGAATTGTTTGCAACAAACAAATACTATGAATTAAATTAAACTGGGATAAAGATATGAAACTGTAGTAACTTTACTAGAGTTATTTCTTGCAAAAATACATTCAAACAGGGTTTAACAGCCTTGAACATTTGAACGACGTCGCCTCGTAAACATAGACACGTCCGGCAAGATTTAGTGATCATATTTCTGGAAACGAGGCCAAGCAGCGCTCAGAATTTACTAAACTTTAGCCGTCGTAAACATGGAAATACAATTGAAACCTCGAGTTTGAGATGTGGTGAGCAACAAACCTGGACTTGCACGGTGTTGGAGTCCAGCCCTGCGTAGATCAGGGGCAGGAGGTCTGTGTCTATATCTTCTGGCGGAGTTTTCTCAAGAATGATGTGCAGGTTTTCCAGGAGCGTTACCGATGCTTGTATTGTTTTTGGTTGGTTGAAAACACCTCTGCATATTGAAGTAAATGGAAAAATAACATCAGGAGGATTCACTGCATCACGTGAAGATTTCTTGTTATAATTTTAGTTCTAACTTACGTTATACTGCAATATAATCGACCGCAGCATTGAATATTTCCAGTTTTATATTTGATTACGTTCTTAAATTAACTCCGAATGATTCGACAATGGGGAATAAAACACCAAAATAAAACCCAACGAATTACTTGTTTCATCTTTACACATTCAAACCTGAAATGTGGCAACACAATGTGCTGGTATTCATCGCTGGATATCTTGGACACAATGTGCAGCACGGGCTGCAAGACGGCAGCGAGCACTTCTTGTGTTCGCATTTCTTGTTGCAATGACGGCCAAATGTGCAGGAACCAGAGTTTCTGGGTAATAAACAATTCAATTATTTGTGATGCAACCAGTTTTATTAATGCTGCTGATACATTTTTTGTTGTTTTTGTTTCATGCTTCGTTGCTTGATTCCTTGAAGTTGTTCCAATGTTAATCGCTTGCGAAGTCTGATTCACGTTATTGTGTTACGTCTGATGCAAAATCGGAGATTATTTATGTACGAATTTCAGAATTTTATGCGATTTAAGCATTTTGTTGGGTGAGTAGCAACGAGGTGCCTCGTCGAATTAAGAAACGTCGTAATTATTTTTTAATAAATATAAATTGTATTTTGAAAAAAAATATATTAATTATATAACATGCATGGTTATAGGCGATTAAATATACTGTCTGTATATCATCCATGTCAGTAAAGGCATTCGTAATTTATAAATTTAAATTAAATGATACATTTTGTGTGCAAACAAACATGAGTAGTTGAACACCAGAATTTAATATTTTAATACAATTGAGTTTGAGGGAGCGAATAAGCTTTGTTATTGATGTTATAGAAATATCTGCATTTGACTTCGCCGGCCCTTTTATAAAACGTGCACTGTGGGGCAATGACGATAGTTTCACTCAAGTTGTGCGATGAAGACTGAAGCTGCAATGGCTCCTCAGGTCTAGTCATGAGCGGTCAGTAAGAGCTCCTCTTGTATCCCAATATTCCGTATCTTGATTCATATCACTTTCAATATTTAAAATATTGACAGAATTATCGGTCGAAACGTTAATAATTGTCTGGAAATGACTTATTTTCAACCAGGTTATAACCCTTCCATTTTACGTTGTATTTCTACTAAAAAAGTAATTGGACATGGACTGATGAAAGTAAACCAAAATATTCGCGAAAATGTATTTGAACTATAATAATATTTCATAGGTGCAATACAAAACACACTTTTAAAAATATCTGTGATATATAATTATCTTCAGTTTGCTGAAAAAAATTGTCGTCACAGGCCTAAAAATCTTAATGGAGATGAGGCATTAATGGCGAAAGTTTAGATGGAGTTTCGAGGCTTGATTCGCGCTCACACCGAAACTCTAATGGAACTTTGCTCAGAAAAAGTGCTTGCAATCAAATTGCTGTCGAGCTCAAACTCTTGATATCCATTGCACCTCGTTATTAAATAAAGGCTATTTGTCGGTGCTATTTCTTTCTTGACCAAACGGGTTCCTTATTGACGGATCAGTTTATTTGTTTACTTTATCAGTGTCGAGAGGGAAGCTAACTCGAGACATTTTGAACGTCGCTCAAGGAATGCTGTATGCGAGGACTACACTCGATTAAGGTTACAAGTTAGCACAGAATGGCCAGTCAGCTCACGCAGGCTGGAGTTGTGGGCCAAGACGCGGGTGAGTGACGGCGTCAGTAACGTTCATACTTCCGGCATCGTTGATGAATTGCTTGGTGGTTAACGCGCATAAGTTTTTGGAACGAGTTTTTTTGCCATTTTTTGGCGTGCGTTTATCATAAATGGGAAGAATAAGTAAAAAGGATAAGTATTCATACAGGTAAGGTTCCTGAAATTTCAATTGATTTGATTAAATTTAGTACAGCTACAAATTACCCCGTAAAGAATACCTGCAAAAAATGTACATAAATGTACGATTTCTGTCGGTGCAAACAAAATTATCGTCGTTTCAAATAAGTAATGACATAAATGCGTGAAGTTGTAACTTACTTTGGGCGTGTGAGGCAAGACTTGGATGAGCGTAGTGCGGTAGAACGTTCCTTTTTGGTTCGGATCCTTCATGTTGATCACGTCGAGGAACTGCAGGGCCTGCACCACAGGATCGCTGTAATGGAAATGGTATAGTGGTAACTATAGGTATACGGTATGGTATAGTGGTAACTATAGGTATACGGTATGGTATAGTGGTAACTATAGGTATACGGTATGGTAAAGTGGTAACTATAGGTATACGGTATGGTATAGTGGTAACTATAGCTAGGTATACGGTACGGTATAGTGGTAACGGTGGATAATAGTAGAAGTGAAACCGACTACGAAGATTCCCACTTGCTCCCATTAAAAATAGTTTGAATGTAAATAATTAGACTAACGAACATTATTTCATATTTGATTTCATGATAACATAGTCGTAAAACATAAAAACTTAATAAGATTAAATGTACTCTTTGGCAAGCATTGTGGAACAAAAATGAAACTAGCCCAAAAAGATTAAAAAATAAAACAAGATTGTACAACAAAAACTTTGAAGTAAAATTTTCGTGTACAGAAGTTTAAAAAACAAGTGAACTTCATTTTTGATTGTGACCTGCATGGTGGGTTAAAACCTAGACAGAAGAATGTCCAGCAATATATATTGTCTTCTCCCCTATACCCTATTATGGTACCACTGCACAATATTTGCCGAGAAGGTATGCTACATGAATGCTAGGCATTCACCAGCAGTTATACACGGTGGGCTTTTTGCGAGTAATGTAGATCACTCCAACAAAATTGAACTGAAGACGAAAACGCTGAACATTCACAAGCAGTTATACAGCTTTCAAAAGCAGTTATACAACTTTCTCAAGCAGTTATACGTTTTCACTAGCACCTGAACAGCTTTCACAAGCAGTTATACAGCTTTCAGAAGCAGTTATACAGCTTTTACAAGCAGTAATACAGCTTTCACAAGCAATAATACAGCCTTCACAAGCTGTTATACAGCTTTTACAAGCTGTTATACAGCTTTTACAAGCAGTAATACAGCTTTCACAAGCAGATACACAGCTTCCACAAGCAGTTATACAGCTTTCACCACCAGTTATGAGGCTTTCATAAGCAGTTATACAGCTTTCACAAGCAGTTATACAGATTGATCTGCATATGGTGTGTAGGATATATCGCTGTAACAAAATTTACGTGAAAACGATGGTGCTGCGCATTTACATGCGATTGTACACAACGAGCATTTTACGCGTAAGACAGATCGCTCTCATGCACGCTCGTTACTCGCTCACTAGTTGGAGCTCATTAGCAAGTAATCAGTGCTTAAGTTTTCCCGTGGAAGCCATGCCAGGAATAATGCCTTTTCAATACTCATTGTGCCAATCATACATAGAGGTAATCCAAGCGATTAATTTGAGCATAAATCAGGATCTTATTTTGATCATCTGATTGCAGAATTGTGTCATTTAGAGTTTAAAAATTTTACGGTAACTGGACAAAAATCCGCTAAAAGTTTTAATTTTTAAGATTAAATAACAGCGAGAATTGATTGCTGCATTGAATCATTTGCTCTATATCACGATGATACGCCTTCGGAAAATCCCTATGCAAGAACTTACGATAATTTTATTTTCTCAATTTTTATTTTTGTTACGAGGATTCTCGAAAAGTTTGTTCAGTGAAAATAGCTTGAACTAAGAACCTAAATTTTAACTCTGAAATTCACGAGAATTCAAGTGCTATTCAATTAAAAAACTTCTCGATAACTAAACTTAGCATAAAGTCACTTCTCTGAACGTACAAAATGAGTTGAATAGAATTGAAAAACAGCAGCTGTTCTCAGAATAACAGCCGTTTAGCATGGCGCTGCAACTCATCATTTAAAGAAATGCTTCGCTTGCACGGCGGACCGCTTTGTGTTCCAAACACCGCGCAGTTCGCAGTTTAACCTCCCAATTAAACCTGGAGAAACAAAACAAAGATTTGTAAACCATTTATTCTTATCACTAACCTGTCTTTGTGTCAGGCTTGTCAATTAGGCGCGTGCAGTGAGCTGTCATACGTGACACGAGTTTCAAGGAACCGATTTGAAAGAAAATTCCAGAATTCCAATTAATATTTAACTGGAAATAGTTTCACCCAAACTTTTGAAAATATATTTTTTTTATGTGTAGATTAAGATTGGAGAGGCTCTGCATGGTAAAAGTTTTTGAAAGATGATTCACCAAATTACAAAACAAAAGATGATGCACCAAATGTGTGCAAGTTCCACAGAACTTGAAACAAAATTTCTAAAATTCTACTCTGTTTTCAATAAAATCGAAATATGCAGCAGTCGGAAAATACTAGAGTACGCAAGTGTACTACATGTAGGAACCTCAAGTCAATCATTATACCAGTGAGATATTTACGACCACCACATCCAAAAATTTTTAACAAGGATAATAAATCGCTTTTTTTCAGTCATCGATTGTTATCGATTGTAAGTGCTCAATTATATTAACTGGAATCTTATTTTCATCGAGTAAGAATTATGCACATAACAGCACCTACGAAAACAGCCTTTGTCTTGCTGCTTTTTAGTCTGTTCTGGGGTAATCTCAACGCCATTGCGGTCTTTTAACAATAAACAGGCAATCAATGGTACATACGTTAAATTTTAATTATTATTTTCTTAAATTTTGTGTTATATCTTAAATTAGTGGCAGTGATGTCGAGGTGGTATTCTCAATTTATTCTATCATTATCAAGTTTGATTATAAACATTATTTTTCACATAACTATTTTTTATATTATTAAAATTTTGTCCACTCAGAAACGCGTTGAATAAATGGGATTTATTTCAATTTAAATTAGCAATTTCTTTAATGAATTTACGACGTAATTTTTTTTGCTCGATAAAAGCAGAGCTTAATTATGAATTTTTTAATATGTGATAAAAATATTTATGAATATGCACAGCTCTTTTGCGAGAATATATTTTGCAGAACACTAAATAACGTATGAATTTCGCACTTCAACTCCTTCCATTTCAGCGGGGTTAGACAAAATAAGGGAAATACCTGAGAAATTCACAAATACATTTTAGTATGGTGTAGGTCTATCTTTTGCGGCAATTACAGCCTCAATTCTCCGGGGTATTGATTCATGCAAATTCTGAATTGTTTACAAAAGAATTTAAACCCAATCTTCAGTTTAAACTCCTTCCAGCTCATGTAAAGACGATTGCGGCGGGAATCGACTTCTGATTGCATATCTAAAATGCTCAATTTCATTAGAATGTTGCTCATGCCATTTTTAAACATGTACAACTGTATGGATCGGAACATTATCGTCTTGAAAGATGGCATTCACCTCCGGAAACAGTGCTTGAACCATTGAATGAATTTTCTCCAACAAAAATCTTAAATAATCACGGCAGTTGATTATTTTTCTGTCACACTAGCACCTACCGTACGGGCACCAACAATTTGGTTCGTTGAAAGTCAGAGAGGTATGCCATCTATAGGTTATAGGTTAGGTTATATACACAAAAACTTGCTAAAAATATCAGTGTAAGAATAAAATCTAAAATAGCAGCAACAAAAATCAACAAAATAAAAAATATGTCACGTGTACATTGTTTATAACATGTTCAAAAATTACGGTATTAAAATATCAGGTGTTTCCCTTATTTTTCCAATCAATATATACGAAAACAAAGTACAAAAGGAAGGAAGAAGTAAAAAATTAAATAGAATTAATACGATAGGCAAATTTGTTCAGATTTTTCTTCTGTAGATTGTTCTGCTCATATTGCACAGCAGTCTGAAGTTTTCTCTAAACAAACAAAGTTTGCTCGAACTTATGATTGAGTTTGCTCGTAATCAAGTAAAAGGTATCAAGAGACTGGCCTCAGTAAACGTCGCGCTGTGGGGTCTGCTCACCGACCAGCAGCTACGATTATTTTACCGTCTACTTTTTCTTCTTATTCTAATAGCTTTAATAAATTGAATCCAGTCGTAATTTGTAGGATATTATACCTCTAACCCCAACCTAACCTATTGTAGTTCTATGCAAACGAGTATGTTAAGGATTTCTTTTACTGACATGTATTTGAATTAAATCCCGAGAATTTTTGTTCTGCATTGTCTTCATTCCTATCATATATGGCTCAATGCTTGAATTTTCATAATTCATTGGCTTACAGTATTTCTCCATTCTTACATTGTTGTTACATTCATCAATATTACACATATTCCTTCGTTTCTGTTCTTCAAACAATTTTGCTGGCTTTTTTTTATATTCGCTCACTCCCTGGCTTCCACTCTTTCAAAAGATGATGGTCGAGAAGAAAAAGTCTTTTCTTCGTATACTCGCGAACTTCATGACTAGAGTCTCAAGAGACCCTAGCGAGAAAATTTCCTCAGAAGAAACCCTTCAACTTTTACTGCCAAGTTTTGCATGAAGTTCTTCAAAAGTTCTCGGGTGATTGGTTCAGTTTCATTTAACGGCACGCACGTTTTGATTGCAATCGGCGCTGGCAAGTTTTGTCAGGGCGAACCACTTCGCGTCAGCGAAAAATCATGGCCGTGAAAATTCTTGCGAAAAGACGAGCAAAGACTTAGAATTACTCTAATTGTATTTAATTTCAGGCAAGAATTGCACACAAAAATATGATAAACCGGTTTATGAAAGTTAACCATTTTTCATATACGTGAGTTTAACACAGCGAATAATTACTAATCACAAGTTCTTTATTTTAAATTTTGAAAACTCGAGATCATTTACTGAACAGATAACTTAACCTGTAGTAGTCAATTTGGGAAGCTTTTGTGGAAAGTTTCAGGATGATTTGCAGGATGTGCTAAACTGAGACCCTTGAACCGTCACCGCCATTACTCGATCGGCTCTCCACTAATTTTAATAATAATCAGTTTCTCACTTTAGCCCCTACCATTTCCACGGCACGTTTTATTGCTGCTTTTAAATCAAAAATGCACCTTCAGTCATGAAATAATTTGTTTTAATCTATTGAAGTTTGGCAAATAATGCCTAAATTCTGATTTGTTTAATCAAGATTTAAGAACGGGTTTTCCTGTTTTGAGATAAAATTTAAGCTAATTGATAGGAAGGCGCTAGGTAACAGTCGTTTTAGTTTACAGTCGATTGGGAATCATGCGAACAACTGCACTAAATCGTGCTGTCGTTGGATGAGATCACGAGGCGAATTTATTGATCACACTTACCTGGTTATGATATTTATTTATTTTGATATTAGCAGCAACATTGAATTTGTTTTTCAAAAGTAGAAATCAATTCTGTCCTCAAATCTGAAAAATTGTTTAAACAAAACTGAGCAGTTTAATCAATCCTGACGTTTTTGGTGCAAATTAAGTGAACATAATTACATGAAAATTGAAAAAAATTATTAATCATTTGCAGCGTGACGTACAGTAGTCAGCTTGAAAGTAAAAAAAACGGAAACGGTGTGTGTATGGTGTGTCAGGTGTGTCTGGTACGCTGTGAATTTTATAATAGGCCTACGAGTCGTAAATATTATTCATATGCACAATAGATCTGTCGAAGATTTCCCATGCAATATTTCTCAACGACATGCAAATTGAATTCCGAGTACGTTTCATTAAGTAGGTGGATATAAAAAATGAAATCTTCCAAGTTATCTAATGTCGTTATTTCTTCCAAGCATTTGTCTATGTCCATGTTATTCACGTCAATTTTCCAGGATTTCAAAATTGGAGAGTTCGAAAGGCTTATAGTTGCGGCTCGAACAGCGAAGGATCAATGGAGTTTACGAAGCATCTTGTTCGGCTTAAAATTTAAGCGTTATTGTAGGTACCTACTCTAGCAGTGAAAATTGATTGTCAATATAATCGATCTTTCAACGAGTTTTCAGCATGACGATCCCCGCCGGATATCGAAAGCATTTCTTGTACGGGAAGTTAAAAAAAAGATGATAGTAAAGTGAGAATTGTTTAGCAGAGTTTAAGGAGCTTGTTTGCACTTACTTGAAGAATTTAATGTGCGCCAAAAGTTGGGCCGTGGGTCGTTTGTTGGAATCTCGGTTGACAAGTTTGACGGCAGCTTCGTGGAGGCCGATCGGAATCTTCGGGAGCAGCGTGTTGATTTGGTCACTGATCTGCGTGTTCAAACGATATAACTTTTAAATTATGGTTAATTTGACACTTAAAATCTCGATTGTTGTAAATCAGTTATACACAGGTAAGTCGTTCATCTTAAGTCTAAGCATCGTGCGTAGAGGGAAGAACTAGCTTTTTTATTTAGAAATTATCTAGCAATTCTTATTCTTTTGGGATGTGAAGAAATATCCACCTATCGTTTATAGCAGTTGTACTGATTGGTCTAGTGACGATGCCAAGCACATCCGTCTGACCACTTTGAGTGAGTTTTTCCTCCCGATAGTGACAGAAAAATTTATTTTGACGCGTCGAACAGTTTCTACTGACCGGATCAAGCAGTTTCTATTGGCTGCATCGAGAGCTCAGACTGACCGTGACGAGTAGCTGGTGCTGACCGTGTCGAACATCTTATACTGACCGTGTCGAGCAGTTTGGACTGAGAGTGTCGAGCAGCTTGTATACTGACTGGCTCGAACAGCTGTGGCTGATCGTGTCCAGCTGCTTGTACTGACCGTGTCGAGTAGTTTGTACTGACCGTGTCGAGCTGCTTGTATACTGACCGTGACAAGATGCTTGTACTGACCGTGTCGAGCAGTTTGTACTGACCGTGTCGAGCTGCTTGTATACTGACCGTGTCGAGCAGCTTGCACTGACCGAGTCAAGCAGCTTGTACTGACCGTGTCGAGCAGCTTGCACTGACCGTGTTGAGTAGCTTGTATTGTGCAGTTTTTACGCACCGTGTCGAGCTGTTTGGTGTACTGAGAAATAGAATGCTGAGCCTCGATGAGCGACTTGCCGTTGTTGAACACAGCGGCTAAACAAAGGCCGAGCGAAAACATGTCCGAGTGAACTGACGCACGCGCGTTCAATTGCACCTCTGGGGCTGAAATACAGAAATATTTAAAGAAAATTGATTATTTGAAATTAAGAATTATTGCTTCAACGCTTTGATTCAATCATCGTGATGAATTAAAAATAAATTGAAACTTGTAATAATAATCAGGAAAAGACAGTAAATTAATTCGCTTGGTCAATCATCTGGCACATGATCAAGTAATAATTAAATTAAATTGATAGGTGTCGCACGAGATATTAAGATATGACAATGGTCAGCTAATGATCTTTACAGATCAGAAGCTTCTAAGAGCATTAGGTTGTTGTCAGTGAATCGAGTGGCAACTATTCGATCTCCCAGCAGCTTTCATTTAATTAAACCGACTCGTGTGTACACGGAACCTCAATCGGGGCTCTTGATGGCACACACGCATCGGGTCTCGTGATTAAATATATTTTAAAAGAATTTCGAATCAAATACGCTATAAAAGCTTTTAAAAGAGCGCCACTGTGTAGGAGATGAAAAGAAGCGCATTGAAAGAAGTGCTTTGCTAAAGGGAAGAATTGACCGTAATTTAATAGTGTTGTAAAGACTTTCAATGGGAAAACCAACGATGTTTCATGCATTACCATGTAAAAGATCCAAGTAAACTTGAAATCTAAACCTCAAATGTATTAAAAGTCAGTAAATGAATAATGCAGTAAAAATCTGTCACATGCAATATGTGAGTAACGCAGTTAAGTCGGATTAACCGAAAAACCTCAAATGAATGGAAAAATAAACCTGAAATATTCTTCAAATGAAGATTTGACGCTGGAGAATTTTCAGCCTCTCTGATCACTTCTAAAAACGCGTGAGTATTTTTGGTAGGTATTAGCTAACGTCGCTGCTGACGCGATATTTTTGGAGCAACATTGACCAGAATATTTCGGAGCGAGCCAACCGAGACTGCACGAATTTCCGTTGAGAATAAATTCATCTAAGCTTTGTAGGAATTTGATTCAAAACATTTTGAGTGATGAATCGTGATGGGATGAATTTTAGGATAGCAGTAGTCAAAATTTAACAGCAGAACGAAATTATCTGAACCGATAAATTTTTATTATGAATAATTTGATATCGTAGTTTAAAGAGGACCGTTTCATGATAGCAAAAGGAAAATTTTATTGATAGTTTCATCTAATTTTATTCGAATTTCAATTAAAATGCAGCAAACGAAAACATTGCTGATTCAACACCGTTCATAAATCATTAGACATGGAACTCTCATAAATATTATAGTTCTCATTAGCTACTATGGGAACGTGCTTTGGTAAATCACACTTGTGGTGTGATGTTTATATCTCACATATATGGCCGCTAAATAGCTTTGAAATTAGCATTTGAATTTATATTATCAAATGATAAACATGAGTTAAGGACGAAAGTGACAACCAATAACCACCAGCGCGAGATGATTTTAACCGGACAACAATTACAACAACAGGTTACAATTCCGTCATTCCATTATTCATACTTTGCTGTCCCCTGGCACTATACTTTGAATCCTTTAAGATAGTGTTGCAAGAATTACCGTAAAATTAAGTGTATGGTGATACTTGTAAATTTTTTGCACTCAATAATACATTCGTATTCCACCATCAAATTTAGATTTTACAACGACCCACCGCAAACCCCTTTGTTCAATTTATTTCAGAACAAAGCCACGCACTCTACATCGGTTTCGTTCTAGTCCCAGAAGAATGTCAGTTTCCCACATCTCGACCTCCTCGAGGGACATGAGCTGCAGCTATTACTGATCGTCTCCGCCTCTCCTATAACCGCTCCGAGCTCCCTCGACCCTGGCTCATCGCAAGAGGCACTTAGAGCTCGATTAGCCAGACGCGCTCTTCCAATTTCGAGGCTCTTCACAACAACGCAAGTGATTTGGCCGCGACGATATTGCCTTCGGTGGCTTTATTCGTCGATTCAACGTTTCTCATTAATACTAGATGCATTATTTCTCTGAATGCAGCTAAACGATTTTTCGTTCTGAAGCTTCTGAACCGATTTCAATTTTAAGGGGACCCACTACCCTCCGGAAAAACTTCTACAGTTATTATCCGATCATCATGAAACTTCACATACATGCGTAAAATGTAAAAATAAGAACATTTTGCTCCTATAAATTTTTCGAAAAAATTGATAGAAAACGTGAAATTCATAGAAAACGGCTAAAAGGGGGTACTTTAGAAAATCTATCTCCTCCTACAAATATCATCCTACAACATCGAGACACGTATCATTCTATTCGTAAAGACCATACCTATAGACTCTGTGATCACTTTTAAGTGGTACCATTGGAAAGAGTAGAATTCCAGCTTTCAGATGAGCACAAAAACCGAAAAACGCCAAAATTGAAAATTTTAGGGTAGTGGGTCCCCTTAATGCATTCTACGAAAATAATTGAGCACAATGCTCACTCTTTTTTTCTGGGAGTGGTTAATTAAGCTTTATTTTTATTTTTTTCCATACTTGAGGCTCTCTGAGAGACAAGTATTGTGGCTTCCATCTTCTGTCTGCCATCGATTGTTTTTGGGTACTATGCGAATTCTAGGAACTATTTTGCATTTTAACAAGTTTTTTCTTGCTCAAAAGGCGATGAGACTTAACTCGCTTAAGATATGATTGTTACAATTTGTATGAACAGAAATAACTTTTGTGACCTTTATAAAAATTTATTAACTTTAAAATGACTCAATTTGCATAACGGAGAAAATAGAACCATGTGAGTGGTAGCTTAAGGAGCATTAAAATTATTAGAGTATACTATAAACAATACCTAGAATCAAAATATTATTCGCGATAGTACAGATATGCTTGCAATCGAAAACAAATTTAACAAATAACTTTAAAAGCTAATTAATGATAATTGAGATATTACGGCCTCACTGACTTGAGTGTCATCTGGCCCACAAATAAGCCAGGAGAGATGCTCCTGTAATTCCCTATTATTCAAGAGTGAAATAGACGGATTAAAGCCGGTAATTGGCCGTAGGCAGGGCGTGTTATTGTCACAGTCGTCAAGATGGCGGAGAGAATTGCGCACCTGGGACCATGCTTTAGCTTACTGCTAAATTGGGCCATTTATATAGTCTCTAGTCGATTAATGGGAAAAACTAGTTAAGTTTTAGTCTTTTTTATTAATGCTAGAATAAAATAATTGACGACAATATATTATAATGTATTTACTTTCCTTCCATTATTGACGCAACAAAAATTTCTCTATCCCATTATTTTCTGGCAGATATTAAAGAGAAGTAATATGTAAATATGAATAAAATTGATTATGCGTACTATTATAAACAAATTTGGCTCAACATTATTATATTCATGGAGCTGGTTGTGCTTCCTGTTAAATATAGTAGTGATAAAGTTGCGCAATCTTCAAACTACATTTCAGCGAATAGCAGAACTCCAGTGCCGTGTTTTTATCACAAAACGAGAAAATATTGGAATGTCATAATTCGAATAGAAATCCTAAACTTTATATAGTGTCTCACCGATAATATACTTCTGTGAGAATTACATGTGATTTGGTGTATGCCTAAGCTAAACCTTAATAGAAATAAACTTCAATCCTAAACTTAATATAGTGCCTCACCGATATAGTCGAGGTCAGGCTGCGCCATCTTAGGAGCTCTCGAGGTCCAGCAAGGCACGGTCACGCTCTCCTTGTCATCTCCGTCGCTCAGTTTTTCTGCCGCAGGAATATTACGTAGGTTAATAAAATTTGCACACGTCAAATGCGATGAACACATTATTATGGAAAATTTAAGTATACAATTACCTGCCGTTGGTTTTGAAGGTCACAGTTTTATACTATTAGCACAAAAGAATAGCATTGAATGAGGGCTCTTCTGGTCGTCAGAAATCAAATGGATGTTTAATCCACCTACAATAGATACATGGAGTGACGTCGATGAAACTTTTACCTGCTAAGTATTAAAATAGGTCATAATGTAAAAACCTAACATGTAGGTGGGTAAACAAAGACCTAATTTTTTTCTGTACATCCTTGAGCTAAATTTATAAAAAAGTTCCAATCTTCATAAACTGCACTGAATTATTATTTATCTTCGTCGATGCAGGAGAACGTTTTCGTAGCATTGTAAAGTTATTTAATTATTAGTGTAGTGAAACACTTTCTTTTTCTATTCTTGCGTCGCCGTGTAGATCTGGGAAGATCCACCAGACAATGCTCAGTACATGTTAATCGTGCAGGTGTTGGTAAGACCTCCGGGGATTCAAACTCGTGCTTAAATGGAAACTAAAGGCACCGATGAGTTCGTTGTTCGAAGCAGGAAAACTTCCTGCCGCTAAATAATGTAGCTTGTTTAGAATTTCTGAATGATTTTATGTTCGTATGATTAGTCTTTTAAGGAATAAAGTTACATGCTTATTACTTATGGAGAGTTTCAGCTAAATTCTCCTAAGTGTTTGAAAAATTTTAGCCACGTGCTTCTTAGTTTTTGGAGAATTCTGGCCACATGCTTTCCCTTCTGAATGATTTCAGTCACATGATTTTCTTTTTGAAGAATTTCTCACACGTGATTTCAGTTTTGAAGAATTCCAGCCACATTTATTTAATTGAGAAGGATTTCAGCAACATGCTCTCGCCTGGAATAATTCCAGTCACATACTGAAGAATTTCAGCTTTTGAAAAATTTCAGCCAAATTCTATCAGTTTTTCAGCTACCGTTCTGCAGAGCACTCAAATTTGTCTACTTTTTGAATTGATTTCCCTTCGTGATGAAAGAAGTTCATTCAAAGGAGAAAAAATTGTTATGCTGTTTTGGAATATTAAATTGTTTCAACATTGGGAAGTTGGTTTTCGATTTCCATGCAATGGTTAGTTAGAAGCCAATTGGCAAAATATAAATACTTTCTTTGTATATTACTATGCCAAACAATCAATATAAAAAGCACAATGCAAACCTGGATGTTAATGTAATTGAAATGACAAGAAAGATTAAGATTTGTTTGTAGCGACATGGACAGAGAACAGATAAATTATTATTTTTTCATTTTTTATGAAAGAGCAAGTCTCTTATTTTTAATAATTTTTTTTCAAAGATTTAATCACAAATTGATTGCAGCATTGCTGTAAAAAACACGATTAAATGGAAATTGTCTTTCCAGGCATTAATTCGATGCTCCAATTTAAAATCCATGTTTCATATTTGGCGTAAATTGAATTATTTCGTTCACCACTGTTTCGCTGAAAAGCGAAACAGTTTATCTTGCGATCACGAGGCACTTTCGTGCAAAAAGTTCTCTCATCCTGGCGTGCAAGATTTCACCATCTGAGCACGAAACCTGGTATCTTGGATACCCTGAAGTGGTGGTGCCCACTCGAGACTTTCTCTCGTTCCCCCGAAGTCGAGATTTTCTGTTTTGCCGGCGGCCCAAAAAGCGAAAGCAAACACGACAAGAGGAGAGCGCGGGACTGAAGAGAGTCGTCGTTTGAAAGCGATGCTTTCCTCTCGGTCTCATTCAACTGGATAAAAATAGACGGATATTCATGCAGGTGCCCCAACTCCGGAATATCTGGGGAAACGATGGGAATTTCTGGAAAATAGATATAGCAGAATATTTCGGAAAGAATATGCAAAATGGATGAATTGAAAGGCAGAGTAAAATTACTTACTAAGGTTGACTGAACCGTTCAGTCGATAGTGCTATGCGCTGTGAATGTATTACTCAAATAATATCTATATCAAATTTTGAGTTGTATAATATTTAAATTTTGCGTGTTTTCCATATCACAGCCATTACTAATATCTCTATGACCACAGAACTGTAAACATTTCAAACGTCCTCAATCAAAGGGGACGTCAAGCGTCGAAAAAATAATCGACAGCTAATTACGAGACTTGTTGATCAAGGGCATGAGGCAACCCGAAGAAGTCGTTTGAATCGCAAATGAGCTAACATACAGTATCGTCCCTGAACGCTCACTTCAGAATGTTACCTAAAAATTACGGTGCTTGCTTTGGTATTTGATTCGTAAAAATAGTCTAGTAATGTCTAGTTATATAGATGGCATGATACTTATATTTTAATGACTTTAATGGTAAGAATTAAGAATTAAAATATTTTTAATGGTAAGAATTTTTGCTGCTCCAACTGCGTTAGAATTTTTTGCAGCGATTTTATGATTCTAGTCACACCAACCAGAACATGCACATTTAGAGCAAATGGAAAGAATGAAGTTTAATTGAATTATTTTAGAATTTTTTATAAGTATATTGAGCTTAATCGATTGGTTAAGTAAAAACAGTCATGAAAATTGCAAATGTGTAAATAAAACTACAATTTGAATCAAAACAAAGTTGTGTGCAAATAATTATGCTGCTGATGTTGGTAAATAAAATGCGATGTCATTCTGTGACCGGAAAACAAGAAATTTTTGCAGCCTACGACTTGTAGTGGTCAATTGTGCAATACGTGAGGACATAAAAAAAATAACTCAGTACTCACTGCAGTGAGTGACAGAGAGCGCATTTGTTCGTCGACGAAAACGTGAAGTCATGGACGGACGGACGGACATGGCGAGCACAATAGCGCCTGTTTTTCCATAAATGAGAAAATGAGCTAAAAACAGTAATTTTCAAGGCCATGAGATTTACTAAAGCTAATTTCCTAAAAAAAAATAACTTGAGCTTTCCTTCTGCGTTGAAGAGGAAACGCGCTGGCTCACCTGTTGCTACAGGGGCGAGGCACCTGTTGCTTGAACACCTGTTGAGTGCGCGTGATAAAACCTGTGGAACAACCCGCTTGCCCAACTCACTACCTGAAATTTTATTGTATTTATCTCATGGAATATAGTGCTATGCAGTCTATAGGAGAATGTCAGTAGACAGTCAGCGGTGATGAATCAGATGCAAGTTTAGCTTAAATTAACCCTTAATCAGCGTCATGAGAGATGAATTGTCGGAATAATTCATAAGATAGTAGAACAAATGATATTCGCGCGGTTATTTGCTCGAAACAGGGTATGTTCATGCATAGCGAATGGTAAAAAGTAATGAATCCTCAGCTTAGGGAAAACCATGTAAGCGAAGGATGAAAATTAAAGAAGGTAAAATTTTGTTGTGATCAATCTCAAACCGGCTGGACCCTTCATCGAAAATTAGAAATTTTCAGAGCACGTACCCCGAAGTCTCCGGGCCACAAGAGCCGCGGTATCTCAGCACATCTCTCATAGACCTCGCCATGCGTAAGTCCACTTTTGTGACCCTCAATTCGGGATGCTCGGAAATTCTCGGAGGGCTCCTCGCTTCAACGATTCCCATAGCCCTCTGCTCGCTCCATTCCAATCATTCCTCGAGATCTCATTTACTCCGAGAATAGTTCCTACTGAGTTCAACGATTCCTTGCCCTTGCGACTCAAGAGCGCCGCACATTCTTTGGATCTTCTCTTTCAAGGGCGGCTGAATGTTATACAGCCAAGTCTTAGTACCTAATTACAAGATGTTTTCATAAATGTTTACTTTATTATTTATTAAGGAGTCATTATTGAATTGAAAAGGTAATGACAGATTATGCGAGGAATTGTTTTATTAATAGAAGCAACCAGTCAAATATTTTGAGGAAGTAATATATAAATAAAATCAACTAACCGACTAAATCGAGTAAATGTTCCCAGCGAGCTAAGCGTATAAATGAAACTTAACAGAACATCATTGAAAAAAGAGCGTGAATGTATTTTTTGCAAAGCGCTTGAACTTACATCTCGTAGGAATCGTCTCAATTTGAGTATATTTTCATTAAATATGTGTGATGTAATTTTTTTCACAATAATTATTGAGGTTATTTGAATTTGTCAGTTATGCTTGATTCGGTAGAATGTATAATTTAGAAAAAATTAGTCTGTTTGTTTTTAGTATTTTAATTTTTACTGCCGCCAAGCTCTAATATTTAAAATGGAGGGCTGACAAGTACATTTCACTTCATTTGTAAAAGTGGAAACGCTATTCCAATTTATCTTGTTTTTTTTTGGTTCAAAATGTAAAATAGACAAGTTATAGATAGAAGATGAACGATTAATAGTGATCGAACAACGATTTGTTGATTATACGAATTTCCCATTCACGAGTCAACCTGATTTTAGCTGATCGATGTGACGAATCGTGTGCAGAAGAAATATAAAACGAATTTATATTTTTACTTTAGGGTCTCGTTATCTTCATCCAAACCAAAAGTTAATAAATGGTAAACTTAGAAACCTACAATCACGATGCCACTTCAATAATCCCTTAAAATATTTAGTACCTGACAAAGATTTTATTTGTTAGCTCATCTAATCCAACCCAAGTTCAAACCGAAGTCTCGTGATACCCCAAGCAAGATAAATTTTGAAGAAAGTCTTTCCCTGAGATCGTCAAAACGAGCGAAATGCGGCAGAGGCAACAAGTACAGGACTTGCCCCTGAAGATTTAATGGGACTTTCATCATGCAAATGAGACTCCGTCGTTTTTTGGCACACGAAACGACAGGCGTTTATGAGACGACCGTAAAGACGAGTTATACGGCCCAGCTGTAATGAGAAGTGCTTCACTACAGACGTAATTAGAAATAAAAACAACAGTTGCATTGCATACTAAATCGTGAAAAAGACCAGACATGGCGAGTAAGCGATGGTACCTAACGTTAATATTTTACTTCGTTTACTTGTTCGTACTCCATGAATTCTAGGCGACTCAAAGTTTCGTCTATTTTGCTGCAAGAATCACTAATTAAGTCTGAGCTTAATTAAGCAATTATACATAAACATAAATTACAAGATTTTTAATCCATTTATTAGTCAAATAACCTTTAAGTTTTTCTGTTGCTGGAGTGGATTTTAAATTTCAAATTTTGGATGACAAAGGAGTTTTAAGAAATTTGAACGTTCAAGCGAGCCAAACGTCTAAATTTAAGCAAAGCATGACTTGTTTCAGGCAGGTGAGCAAAATCTCTTGGAATTTTAGAAAATTTCTCAAATTATTTGACTTTCAATTGATGCTAGGTGATTTTTTACAAATAATTTTAAATGTAAATTTCAACGATTGCTGGTGCTGAGAAAAGTAATAGAAAAATTCCAGATCTGGGTTATTGAAAATTATTTTCTGTTCATGGAACGAGTTGGTTAGTGCAGAAATACTGGTAAATTTCATCAATAAATTTATCGATCGTCATCTTTTACATTACACCTTTTCCAAAAAGTCTAGCGTCAGGGCGCAATTCTAGATGTTAATATAGACGTTAAATTGGATTTTCCACACAGAGAGCATGAAGGTGGTGAAGAAACGTACTGTACGAATAAAAGTAATTATAATTCTAATCACAGCCCGATAAGATAATCACGGCAAGCCCCAAAGGCCGAGACAGTTAATTAAAGGGAAATCGCCCAAAGGGACCTTGTAAGTTAAAAAGGCAGTCAAGTCCTGAAAAGACTTCGAGACTTTCAATGGAGTCCCGAGACACTTCTTTCAAGAAGCTGTTATTGGCAGGAAGAACCGTATCCGCCCGTTGGCCCTGGGCGAAAATATCGATACCATTTAAAGCCTTTTGATAGTCTCATCGAATGAACGAGGAGGCCATAGAGAGTCATGTACAAGAGCTTGATTCTAAGTAAATATTCAACCCTAAATGAAGGCGGAAAATTAAATTCGGTTATCAAAACTGATTATGTAATTATCGTACAGTTCGCCTGATTAGAGTGTATCGAAATTTTGTTCCTATTAAGAATATCGAAATTTCGTTTTATCGAAATTTTGTTCTGATTAATTTCACTATCGACCAAGTTCCATTGAGGGTCTTTTAAAGAGCAAACCAATTTTAGAAATATACTGTTCCGACCAGTGGAAAAAATATCTGGAGTCAATCTACAGCAAGCTGCTAATCCAGGTTCTCATTTACTGTCACTGCATTTTCTAACAACTTTATTCGCGACTGTGGAATGTTGGCGGACATACTTGAGTCAAACTTTGAAAAATTGACATATTTTCAGCCATGCGATTACCTCTGCTCTGGCGATTTCTGTGAGCAGAAAGTCCATAAAAGCGTCATTAAGAGCCGTAAAGATTGGATGAGCTCAAATAGAAGCCGCGGCTCAACTAAGCTCAACTTTTTCTTCGCAGTCACTGTAAATCTAGGTGTAAATCTTAGCTCACTTTTTTCGCAGTTACTGCACACCTATAAGATTGGATGAGCTCAAATAGAAGCCGCGGCTCAACTTAGCTCATATTTTTCTTCGCCAATATAGCCAACTTGAAAGCAAGCTTAGTCAATTTATAGCGCATTTTCTCATTTATGAAAAATGAACTATTGTGCTAGCCATGTCCGTCTGCCGTCCGTCTGTCCGCCCGTGCCTTCATGTTTTCATCGACGAGAAAAGGCGCTCTCTGTCACTCATTGCAGTGAGTACTGAGTTATAATTTTTAGTGATTTGATCACTTTTTACAGGAAGAGATGCGAAAAAACAGAAACATGATTTAAATTATCGAGCACGTCATGTGGCAATCGAAAGTGACTACAATTTTCTTGTAAGAAATTAAAATTTTAACTAATATTTTAGTGCATGCTGAAATTCCTGCATGTGGACTATCATTTCACAGGGGTCCATAACATTCTTATGAAATCAATGAAAAAATGGTAGTACCTTGGCAGCTGCGTTTCAGGAAGATGTGAATATTTCGTGACCATTTGTATTTCAAAAGTTTGTTTTCAAAGAAATAAATATGTCAAGTGGTGAACAACAATAATCAAATTCTATCAACTCCCTTACTCGTACTCTTACTCTCTACTCCGGAAATACTCTATATTTCAAAAAATAGAGTATTTCCGGGATTGAAGAAAAATAATGAAACATTTGTATTATTTTTCACACGGACCTTAGATTTTAGTTGAAGAAATGCATGATGGCGAGTAGGCTGGAGGTGTGAACCACAACCATGTCTATGAGGCGTGGCAAAATCATCCGACATCTCCACGACGACCCAAATAAAAACTGAAAAATCTTGCTGACTTTGTTGTCATTGCAGAGCATCAGAGCGCAGTAATACAATTCCTATCGAGTTAAAGAGGCTCCGTCGACCCATAAAGACATTACAGTATCCGTTCTGGACTCGAATGAGCCACTAATATTAACAAAAACAAGCAGGCTCTCCAAAAAGATGTTTATATTTGTGCTCTGCCTGACCGTAAAAACTTATCATGTGCCTTGAATTTATAATTCATCTAATGAATTGCAACGCAGTTTCACGTCCAAGACTGAACCAAATATTCTATCAACTTGTCAAAAGCCGATAATTAAGTAGCGCCAGTTTATCATCTGCCAATTTTCATGCGATTTCGTACGGCACAGGCTCATGGAGTTTCGGATTGTCTATGATAAAGTAAAAGCCATGTCATACGTAAAACAATAGGCTGTCATTGCTCAAGGTATGAATCCTTTCACGTGTCGATTCTTACAAATTTCCTTATGAGGCTAGAAAGCATCAGGTCGTCGTCTACCGAGCCTCAAGTCACGCCTTGGGTCCCGGGGCTGCCGTCTTGTCATCTCGTATATCAAGCCGTGGCAAGAACTCGCGTCCAAACGACGTTGGCTTGAGAGGAGAAGCAGCGCGGCGACAGGCATTAGCTTGATGGACTCGAGGGAGCTGAGGGCAACTATTTTGCACGAAAACTTTTACGCAAGCAATCTTTTTGCCAGGGGCGTCGTGATTTTCTATATATACAACTTTTTCCTATTATCTCGACACCGTATGATTTTTTATCAGTTAGCCAAATTGTGTCTTCAGAATTATTTACGAATGGACGCTGTTATACAGAGACCACACTAGAAACGCTACTTACTTGTCCGTACCTTTCTTACACATGTCTGTCTGAATTGTAAGGTATAGATATTCATTTGGTTTTGTGCACAGCATCGTAGTAAAATCAAATTATGAATTTATAACAGGAGGTGTTGAATATGCCCAAAGCACTTGCCCCATTATTTCCAGTAGCATAAATGCGCTCTAATGTGTCTCAAAATAAATGCCACTCTCTTCACGAAGCAAGCAGACGAGAATACAGATTAGACGGACGATAGTGATTGTTGCAATCGGATCGTGCGTTCCAATCATTTCAGGAGTTGCCAAAATATTTACTTAGGTTTAGTAGTTTAAGGAATAGCTACTTGGAGCTTGAATAATGCGGATACAATTCACTATTATAAAAGCCTCAAAGAACATTATTGACAACTGGTCTTCATTACCATTTAGTTTGAATGATGATGGCAGTGCCATTAATTCTTCACCATTCTCAAGTTCAAATTCAATTTTTTTCGATCTAGAAAATTACTTCAGTTTGTTCCTGTTTTTAATTACTCGCATTTTCTTGCGACTTACAATGGATATTTTCAAATGTTTTCTGGAATTAGGACAGAAGATTCAATTGTAAAATTAAATTAATTATTAAATTTTTTAAAAATTGATTAGAAATTATTTTCAAATTGGTTAAATTAATATTGAATCGTAGCCTTAGTGGATCCAATCGGTATATTATGGCAATTGATTGAGGAATGCTATCACCCTTTTAACATTCATTTACTTCTTCAGATTCATTGATCAATTAATTATATATTTTGCTAAAGATTATTAATATTGGCCTGGATATTATTTTTTTTATTTCAGAATTTAGCGAAGAGTCGTGTAGTTGAAAAACTTTGTTGCCCCTCCATTATCTTGAATGGCAATTTCTGTTTGATGAGTTCTTCAAGATGACCTCAGTTCAGACACTCAATTGCTTATTCCATTTCATTCATCAAAGATCGCAAGTGGGTCTAAACCAACTACGTGAACGTTGATCATAACCATGCTATTGTAATGTTGGATACAAGACGGCCATTAGTGAAAAAACTGTAAGCACTGCGATTTCATGTCTGTGATCGTGTACGATGCGACGGCAGCACTATGGTATCTGGGGCACAAGAAAGTCACTTAACTTAGGGCGACACTTGATAAAATTCCCTTGAATTTAGATTTGATAAAATGCCCTTGAATTTTGATTTGATAAAATGCCCTTGAATTATGATTGAATTTTAATTTGATAAAATACTCATGAATTTCTACTGATTTGTAAATAAACCGAACAGAAAGTGTCTTCGGGAAATGATGATGAATCCTGATGACACCGCGTTGAAGCTTGATCAATTTTCAAAAGAGAACGGACCAATAAAGGTTTTAAATTGAATTAAACTCACCGGCAAACTCGAGTGCTGCCAGTTTCCAGGTGCCGCGCTTGGTGATGAAGATGGAGGTGGGCGTGACGTTGCGATGCAGCACTCGCGACGTGTAGTGCAGGAACGACAACGCCTCTGTAATCTGGTGGAAAGAAATACGAATTACTACAAAATTTGCCATCACTTGATAGAAATAGGATTCGGTGCAACGTAGTGGCAAGCGTGATTACATATACAAGTACATTATCATATAAACATTTTTCAAAATTTGCTTGTGTGTATTTTTAAAGCCTGGCGCCGTGTATGTATAGGGGCGGTCCGGACGAAGATTTGCTTTTAGTTATTAAAATGCTGCATACAAACGCGCTTCAGATTTGGACAGCATTCAGCATAACCATAAATGGGGCATTTTTCAGCGTTAATAACAGACTGGTCAGTTCGTGTGAGGATCCCTCCAAATAAAAAAGGTAAATTGTTTTAAGACCCCTACAAAATAAATGCGGGAGCATATTGGCTAAAAAATTGATTTATTATATAGAAGAAGACTTTGAAATTTGTAATTGCTTCATTTCTGATCGTCAACTCTCACTTTGAAAATAGGATAGAAATTCATTATTGATATAGGTTAAAAAGGGATATTAGTGAAGGAAACGGACATTTAGTGATCCTGCTGAAGCCGCGCTACGGCGATGAAGCCAACATGACGCCAATCTAATAACAAACTAATTTAAATATTAATTTAATTCACTGAGGGAGCACTGCATTACAATACGTTATGATTACAAATGGGCGGCAAAAGAGAGCATATGTTTAATGCATTGAATTCTTATTGAAGTGAACCATCATTTCTGTTTTACTTTGTGGGTGGAAGTTGCTGTATTAAATATTGAAAAATTTCGGACGAATTTCCTGTTAGTTTTTGCGTGATCACGGTTAACTTTTTGGTCCAACATGTTACTTAACAAATTATTTCTCATTTGCGTCTAACGAAAAATTTCATATTTAAAAAAAATCCGAAGTAAGCATTGCTCTTCAAACGGCATTGAGTGTAAGTCTAACTTCTTCCTGGAAGTGATTATTGGGGCAGGTAGGAAATAATTGAACATGAAATGACGGTGATAATGTTAGGAAAAATAAGTGGTTTATAAGTATTAAATAAATAATCCGTTACATGTGTAGTAAATAATTCATTTCTTGAAAAGTAAGATTTTCATACTGATTTCTGTTGTGTTTCATCACAATATGGTAAAATCTAGTTTCATCAGAATAGAAATATTTTCCGAGAATGAAAGTTGCTATCTGTGGTTAGAAAGTGCTCTCTCTGACAAATTCTATTCTTCACTCAGAAGTTGAGATACATTTTTACTTGGGGGAAGGGATAGACGTGAGCTCACTTACATATTTTATAGCGTAACGAAAAATTGCTTATTTAGTTGCTTTGTTTTTGATATGCAGTGAAGACTTGATCACAAAATTTGGTCTCGAACTGTTATATTCAACCAAGTTCTGCCACAAGTTATCAGTTGGAAGCGAACCCCGCATCCGTGGCGATAGTTTCATATCAGTTCGCGCAGGCTACGGAGCTCCAAAAAACTCTGAGCAGACATCATTTTTGAATGTCTAGTGCAGAACCGAGTCCCCAACAGCGTGGGGCGCAGTTTAGGTCATATGTTCATTTGGAATTCAAAAGAAATGGTTCATTCAATTAGGTTAGGTCGATGATGTTTGCTTATAATTAGCTAGCTTCACGTCAGCGCCATTGGAAATGTTAGATTTAAATTTAGAGGAAGATCAACACAAACAAAAATTTACCGTTGAGAAGATTGCCCAAAATTTAAGTACAATATTACTTTTCATACGTATGGGACTGTGACAAGAATGTTGACCAGATAATCATTTAAATAATGTTCCAATCAAGAGAAATATCCAGAAGATCGATTTTATTGTGAGCAAACGTTGCATTGTTTGACTAATAGTGAATCGCCGGAGAGTCGGTGTAAATTTTGTGTAAAATCTACAAAATATTAAAATATTAGAGATGTCGGTTGAAAATATAAACATTTCGGCATAGCATCATCTTTATATATAAGACTTAACTATTGATTATCAAATAAATAGCTGCTTATACTTGCCACAAAACCATCGGTCAGACAAAGGAACGACAATATATTTTTCGGTTACTTGCTCCAGATTTAAATTCGTTTCCGAGCCAGAGCTCAACCCCCAAGTGAAAATACTTATTCTCACTTGCAGCTGAAGTTCTTATAGGATTCCTTGGTTGTCGTAACGTTCGCAATTCTCGTGATTTGCGGTGCACTTCAAGAGGCTCGCAAAAACGCTCCAATGCAAACTGCAGCGTCCGATTTATGGCACCGTTATACGTGCCCAGTCAGGAAAACACCGTGGCTTCCAATTTGGTTTGGAATTTTCGGTTGTGGTAAATTTTTGTGCGTACAAAATTTCGACAGTTTTAAACAAATAAAATGAAGGCATCAAGAAATATAAATTCATGACCCAGTAGGTAATTGCGCCAAGTTATTGCGATTAGATTCCGTGTACATAAATGTTGTTTATCTGTCATATATTATTTTCATCCTCCTAAATTGAACACAAGTATCTATTTGATGTACTTCTAAAGATCCTCACGTTGCCAAGGGTAATAGTCAATTGCTTTTACTTTAAATTGAATCAACGCATTACAAATATTTCATCAGTAAATAGCCGCTGATCCAGGCAACAAATTAATTGTCAATCGTATCTGGAATCAGTTACAAGTTGATACTGACTGGTATTTACCCCACAACGTCACGTGAATTTTCATTGATTGAAAGTTTTAGGAAGGGGTCCAATGTATTTGTAGGCTCTGGACTGAACTACGGCAATCAGCGTAAAACCCAGGTTTCCTATGGCATTTGTAAATTATAAATTCTTTCGAGTCCTCTTAAATACCTTGCTTCTCAAAAGACACTCAGGTGGTCATCGATTGTTCAAATCGAATTTCATTTATGTCACTCAAGTGTACGTTAAATGTAGTATTAAAAACTCAGACCGAGAGATATTCTACCATCGCGAACAACGCAGATTACACGCTCATTGAAGAAATTATGTCTTAATGATTTCCCTGTTTTATTGAACAAAAAAATTATATGTTCGGTAGGTGATCTAAATTGTTCCTATAAGTAATGATGATAATATGTCTTGAATGTGAAGGGTATGAGGCCAGGTTGGGCGGTGGGCCAATATCGACAGGCGGTCAGGGGCAGACGACGCCGCTGCTCTCGCTTAACGATTATCGAAAACCGGCAAAAATCTTGTTCTGAGCAACAGTCGCTGTCCTTACAAGTAAATGAATTTATTTCTCATTTTATCTCAGAAACTAAAGTGTAGCCTGATTTTTGCAATTTTTCGATAGAAATAAATGAACAAGCTCATGTATTAAATAATATTTGGGTTAATACTAATATGTCAGAATATCATTTAAAAGGTTGATTTATTTTAAAGCGGCAAAAAGGCTACGAAAAGGAAGTTTAACACAAATGCAAATTCTTCGTTAACGTATGTTATCTAATTGCTTCCAATTAGTGCAATGATTTTAAATTTACCTCCTTACGTCGACGTTTCATGAAATTAATTGATGAACAGGAATAAATAAATGGTATTGAGGGGAAAGTTTTTTCGAATATTGGATCGCAAAGCCTTTCGTAGTTAAATAAGAATTCTTAATGGAATGAAATCTGCGTCAGTTTATAAATTAAGAATCGCATGAATTGTAAAGCGAGAAGCTCAGGGGTTCGTTTCACATCAGAGTGTAATCCTCTTATAAAAACAACATCCGGCCAAGCGATATTCATTCGACCTCGCTTACGTTTTACTTCGCAGTTCACTGAAAACCAATTCAAGCAAATACTTCAAAACGTCATAAAGCATCTAACTTTAAATATTGTGCCTTTTGTGTACTTCAATGTTGAAATATATAGGTTTTCATTTAACAATGAACTAAGTTTGTCGTCTCATAAATCATGTTTTGTAAGCTTGGCGAAAATATTTTTCACATTTCTCGAGTGAAAGTATGTTACTACTCGAGAATGTTGCTCATGTGAATGCCTTCTAATATATTTTTCTCAATTTGCTCATCAATGACAATGAGTAACATCGTATTAATTTTACGTATTCTGCGGCACTGAAGCATAGTTCGATAAGTTACGCAAAAAATGTACTTAGGATTTTATTTTCGCGAATCGGAAGCAGATTGAGTTGACACGTGTTTACTAACTTTTTTTCTATGTAATGGCATTTATAGTGATTTAAACTTATTCTTATTTGACACGTGGACAAAAAGTATAAAATTTAAAGTCAAAATATGCAAAAGAAGTTATCCTAATGACGTTTGCACAGCTCTTACATTGTTGATGAGTCGGCTACATGTCATTTGCTTTAATAAGAAGGAAGCAGATGCATTGTTTGTACGGCTTTTTGTGTGAATATCCAAGCAGAACAAATCTCGAATATGTTTTCAGAAGGATCTCATCAGTAATAAGCTTGCATGAAAGAATTATTTACTTTATGAAATGATGTATATCTTTTATCTGAGAGTTTAATGGAATGTATGTCTGTTCATTTGGTGAGAGTTCATACTCAAAAAACGTGTGGTAAATTCCCAGAATTTTTCAAATTTATTTTGAACTATTAAGTTGAAATATCGACATAATGCAAGCCATGTAACTTTTGCAACTAAAAATTCTCCTTGTTTATTTTGAGCTTACATGCCATACAATGCACACCGTGACTCAGGTTACGATGGTGCGCGTATAAAGCAGATCGTTAGGCCAGCCAGACGACTCACAGCGACTCGTTCAGTGATATTCTAGCTTCTCGTTATGCCCGAATTTTGGCCGGTCACGCGATCCATCGTTCCTCAAGCCTCCGCAGTGAGCAGACTGTGCTTAGTTCTCGCAAGTAAATGAAACATTTTTTTTCACCCTTGAACTCCATCGAAAATCCGAATAACTGAAAAAAGGCTTGAAAATAGCCAGAGAAATCTGAAAATATTCGTTCTGTTTTGACGTTGTTTATATTCTTGCTGATGGCAGAATTTAATTTTTAGACATTGAGAATAAATCTGTAATATAGCGATAAATTACTTAGCTGATGCTGTATAGTGTGTGAATAACCAATTCGCTGTTATTCATTATATAACAATAATGGTGACAGATCACGAAATTAGAAAACCTCCGAAAACAATTGCGTAGTGAAGCAACATAAAGTAATTTTCATTTAGTAACGAAGAACTAAAATTAAAAGTACGTAGGAAACGCGTATCATGTAATAATTTTTGATAAGATCAACTTTTATCTATGTACTCTTGGACAATTTATACAGGTCGTCTGCAGACCCAAGTTGCTTCAATTATTTCTCAGTAATAAGAAGACTGCACCACACGCAAAGTTAAATCGAATTTCCTGGAGCGTTCACAAAAATTGATTTTACAAAGATTATTTTCAAAAATATAAACTGTAACTCCAGGTGTAGATCATTAAACTCAGTCTAACAACTGTTCAAAAAGTCAATTTAGCGCACTCAAAAGTCCAAGCACTCAAATTAACAAAAAATTTTGCTCAATTTTTAAAAGATTTACTTTTACTTTACTTAATGCATGACGCATTCATTAGATTAGATTGTACAAAAGTTGAAAACAGCGCATTGAGAGACTCGCTGAACTTAACTCTATGAGTTCTTTACAAATAACCGTATTATTTTTGAATGAAAGAACATAATTAGTCAGAACAGGTTTTAATTTCTGAGCTTTAAAAAGTTATGGAACAAGATTCCAACGTTCAAAGTTAACATGCATTCCGTAGAGCAGGAGTTAAACATTCACTCAACAGAGAGACCGAAATAACAGTCTGAGAACTTCATAGAGTTTGCTTGTTCACATAATTGGCATTAGTTGGCAATCTTGTAGATCAATTATACGCCCCAATGAACAATTACTACTTAATCTTGGCATGACGCAATCGCGATCACTTAGGAAGCCATGGAAGCACGACGTCCGTACATCAATGCTGTTATCGTCTTATTGAAGCCAATCTCTTTAATTAACAGTGACCACATACTCATAGTCTGCCATTAAATACGAAACCAACATCTCTACAGCTATCGATGATGGTTTTCAGTTTACCATGAAACATTCATATATGATGGGTGTAAGAGGAGGACTGTTTCCTCACCAAGCTTCTGATTACTTAAAAAACAGTCAATCAACACAAACAATAATTCCTGTAAATAAAAAGCGACAAATCCCGCAAAAATTATTGATGAAACGATCATTAAACGCAACGTGTGGAAATTAAGCCTCACTACATGATAAAAGTAACAATGCATTGCACCGTATAAGCCTCACCTGCAGCATGCCATATTTTATCTCGACTTCCATGAAGTTGTAGTCTTTGTAGACGTTGTTTTTCTCCTTCTCTCTGTCCTTGTCTTTCTCCTTGTCTTTGTCTTCATTGCGGCAGATGATGTTAGCCAGCGAGGCGTATATGGGCTCCGTGTAGTAGCAGAGAGTGTCTGCCGTCTCCTCCGGACCGGCCACAACCTGAGTGGATATGCACGAAATTCATAGCCCACTTATCAATGGATATTCCAAGCTCTTTACGATAAACTGGTTATAATTAAAATAATGAGAAAATATGCATAATATTAATGTACCGTAAACATATTATATTACAAGTAAATTACATGAAATTTTGATTTTTTAGCTTGGTAAAGTATTTTTAACATAATTATTAGAATGAAAAAAATTATCTATAGATCTACGTTACATTTATTAGAGACTTATTTTAAACTAATGTACGACACACATTGTACGAGGCACCTTTTCGAAAATATTGACCGATATATCAGTTGCTAATCGAGGGAAATTCACATCACGCTTCACAGGAACAATGTAAGCTTCATCATCAGCGCACCATGATGCGCATTACGCTTCAAAGGAACAATGAGAGCTTCATCATCAGCGCACCATGATACGCATCACGCTTCAAATGTACAATGAGAGCTTCATCATCAGCGCACCATGATACGCATTACGCTTCAAAGGAACAATGAGAGCTTCATCATCAGCGCACCATGATACGCATTACGCTTCAAAGGAACAATGAGAGCTTCATCGTCAGCACCGTAATGCGCTTCCGCTACGACGGCTGTGGCCTCCTCAATCGACTTTCATCCTGGGAGTATTTATGACTAGACGAACTTTAATCTCCTAAACTCATATTAGGATAAATAATGAGTTATAAACAACGTGGTGCTCGTGAATCTTTTATATTATATAAATAGATTGATTGTAAGCCCTCGCTGACCTTGTTGACACTGCGGCGCACGAAAGTTGGTGGCAGTCAACGTCGAACTGATTCAATCAACGGACCAATGAATCAGCGAGCTTGCGATCACGTATAAAATTAGAAAAAGTGTTCGCAGTAAAAACTGTCTTACTTTGAAATCTTCTTCAATGTATAGATTCTATGTAGGCTATTGAAACAACGATCAGATTGATTTCGGTCCTATAAAAATTGTATTGAATAATCCGATATGTTTTATAGTGCATATGACTCACCACTCCATCATCGAGGGAAAATGTAGGTACTAAGCAATTCACAGAACAAGAATGAAACGTTATGACGGTTGCCCTAGCAGTGTAACCGCTCCTATTGTCTTCACCACAACCCATGATGCAACACTACAGTCACTTGCACATCAAAGGTTATGCTAAATGAATGGCCCATCTGGACGACGGCCTGGAGCGCAGTCCACGTTTCAGACATGAGAAACCGACCGTCTCCTCTCAGCATCTCGTCTCATGTTATAAGCAAGCGCCATGAGACCGAGCTTTGAAGCTTGGACATGATGAAACAATGCAAGACAAGGCCGCTGCACAGCGCGACATGACTGCACGTCGAATCTGGATAAGCTAAATTAGGTGCTACGCGAGGCTAAGATGACCTTGCAGTTCATTAGACAGCGCACCGGGGATCCAATAAGTCGGCGGCGATGCGGACGATATTTGGGAGGCAGCGCCGCCCTTGCACGAAATTCTTCCCCCAAATGAACTACAAAACATGTCTTGGTTTGTAATTATTACTCTGAAATTAGTAATAACTGCACACAAGAAGAAAACCGCTGCCACTATCATTGGATATCAAGATAATGTATTTAGTGATAAATTCTTTATACTTGCTTAATCAAAGTTATCTTCTTCAAAGATTCCACTTCCTGTGTGAGATAAGTTATCTTCTGGAAAGTTAGCAATTTATCAGTAAATCTCAGTTATTCACATCCCATTGAGGTATAAAAAAGAACATAATAATAAACTGGTAAAAAGCTTTAAATAAAGTAGCCTATGAGATCAATGCTAACTCAGTGGTGATTAACTTGTAAAATTATAGGCAGAGGTGGGCAGTAGCGCGCTACATGTAGCGGTAGCGGTAGCGGCTCTACATTTAAGGCAATGTAGCGGTAGCGGTAGCGCCCGCTACATATTTAAGTAGCGATAAATTTATAGATAAAGCCTTTAGATTTTACGTAAGGGGACTGGCTACTCTCCAACAAAACTTTTTTGTATACAGACGGATCGTTTAGAAACTTGGTACACATATGTAAAACAGAAATCTAAGACTTTTTGTTCATGTAAATTTACAAAAAAATGAACGAAAACATGGAATTAATAGAAAACGGCATATAAGGGGTACTCTAAAAAGTTTATAACTTTTGCAAATCACTTGCTACAATGTCGAGACACATATCATTCGATTTGTAACAACAATATCTTGCGACTGTAAAGCCCCGATTTTTGATTTTCCTCATCTTTTTTTTCGCGTTCATCCCATTTTTTTCACATATTTACCCCAATCTTCCTCCCCCTCCCATATATAAGTCAAACCATGCACATATTAAAAAAAAAGGCTTCTAGAGTCGCTATGCATTGTTTTTACAAATCGAATGGTATGTCTCTCACTGCCGCAGCTTGAAAACTGTTGGAGTTATAATTTTTCTAAGATGGCGTTTTTTGGATTTTTAAATTGTTCAGGGGAGCCAAATAAAATAAAATTCATTGAAAACAGATGAATATGCCCAAAAAGTCTTGATTTTGTAGCCCAAGCTTTCCCATTGCCAGTTATTTGCATTCAAGGTACCAGCACGCGTCTTTAGACCTATTTATGTTCAATTTAACGTGAATAATAGGCTCTAAATGGGACTTTTTATATATAAATATATATATATGAAATATTCATTTTACATAACTTTACAACTGCATTACGCAAAAACTATTGCATGAACATCCATGGTAGTAGCTTTGTTAAACGCGTCGTGTATTTAGCTTTCAAACGAGTGCAAACACTTTGCAATTAACCTAAATAATGACATATAAATACCATTTATTTGTAAATAATGACATAAAATGATCATTTTATAAAAGTTCAAGACTGCATTACACAAAAAAGTATTGCATGTACATCTATGGTACAGTAGCTTTGTTGAACGCGTCTCGTTTGTAGCTGTCAAACGAGTGCAAACACTTTGTAATTAACGAGAGTAATGATCTATATATATACAGATTTAATTCAAATAAATCTTTGTACATATTGTTAAAAAATGTTCATATATATATTTTTAAAATTGTCTTACGCAAAAATTATAGCACGCATAGACATGCGGTAAACTGCGTTAGACGCGCCTTTTCAGCAGCTACGAAATGAGTCAAGAAAACGGCAAAGCCAAAATTTCCGATTTTTAGGGTAGCCGGTCCCCTTAATAGTATTAAATATTATTTAAAAACCAGCATGATACATACATAATATGAATTACAGAATAAAACTGTACGAAAGATTTCGGTGCAATGTTGTCAACCTCAGCCTTTTACTAGTGTCAACATGTTAGTTGTTACTTGTTAAGTTGTTACCAGTTACCACTTAAAGGTTTTTTCATCTTTCAGTTTGCTTACAGTTATTTTTACACAGTCATTTTTATGTTTCACCTTCCCTACATGGATGTCTACTTTAATCTACCAATCTCAAAAATAATCCACATATATATATATACAAAAAACACTGATTTTTATATGTTTATGTGGATAATTTCTTAGATTGGTAGATTAAAGTTTACATCCATGTAGGGAAGGTAAAACATAAAAATAACTGTAACTTTTTTTTACTGTATCTAACCCTGGGGTAACCCATACTAGTTCGGTTAGGTTAATTGCAATAAAGTTGCATTTATATGTTTTAAAAATGTTTTATTATCATTAAATGTTAATGAGTAAATCCCAATGGCAGAACAATAAATATTTAGAGATTTCCAATAATTTTGGCCATTGTAGCGGCTAATGTAAAGCGCTACATTTTACTGTAGCGGTAGCGGTAGCGCTTGTTACAATCTAGTGGGTGTAGCGGTAGCGGTAGCGCCCGCTACATTTAGAGCATGTAGCGGTAGCGGTAGCGCCCGCTACATTTAGAGCATGTAGCGGTAGCGGTAGCGCCCGCTACATTTAGAGCATGTAGCGGTAGCGGTAGCGCCGCTACATTTCCGAGTAGCGCTGCCCAGCTTTGATTATAGGCCAAATTACTTTAACATTAACTTTCTTCTCTTTACGGATTTAAAGTAATAAATGGCATACGCTGGTGAACATTAGGAGCGTCGTAATAAATAGAATCAAATTATGAAAACTCACTTAATATCAACACACGTACGTTATCCGAGTGAACAAATGTCCAGGATAGTTATGCAAAATATTCAAGGTCAATTTGAATATATGAATAGATTTACATAAAAAAATGAAAACAGGGGAAGTGAAGATTAATAAAATTCAAACAAACACAAATATTAGCAAATATATAAAAATAAATATTGCCCATTAAAAAAGTACTGATGATCTGTGGTGGTAACCCAAACAAGTTCACGAAACATCGGACGTCAGGACAGCAAGTTCTCATTAAACCGTGTACCGTGACCGCGTCGTCAGGGTCTCTGCATACATAGGAATAGGAATTATCCGATTAGGAATGAGACAAGCTGAATGCTGCTGTAGAGATTTAGTACAACGTTTAAATAGTGTTATGCATCAACTAGCATTTAGGTCGGACACACGACACATTTTCTTTCTTATATAAATTTGTAGCAAATAAATCAATCAAAACCCCGAGATTAGAACCTCAGCTTTACTTAAATCAAAATAATTTCTCAAATATGTATTAAGTTATAAGTTTCTACAATATTTTAGTCCGAATGGTGATTTACAATCCTCGATATAAAACTAGAATAAAATCGATATTTGTACACAATCTTTAAGGTTAGTTTTTATTTTCGAAAATAGTGGTTAACCGAGAAGAATGCAAGACAATGACCGTTTTCGAAACCAATTTCACTTTGTAAACGTTAAGTAAATGGAAAATTTACACTAAATACCTAGGAAGTTATTTTTGTAAACGTAATATAGATTTGAGTTAAGGGGTCCAAATTTGTCCTCGCAATTCACCTCTGGATAAATTCAGCCCTGAATCAACTTTCCATGAAGCTTTCGATTAAACCGGCATCAAATTAGTCCGCAATTCATTGATGCTTTATTGAGGAATAAAAAGTGGCGGTATTTTAGGCCTCGATTTGCAGTTGTGAATAAATGTTCGTATTTTTTAGGTGACGCCCAAATATTCGTTGGAGGTAAATGATTGTGAACTGAAAGCCCCATGACATTATCTTCACCGATATTTCAGAATATTTGAAATTCATTTGATCAATGGGTAAAATATCATTGAATTTGTTTTCGAGCCTCAATCATAAGCGAAATTTGTGAGGCAAAGGTCATAAATGGCTAAGAATAATACCAAAATAGCGAATAATTATAGAATAAATAATGGGCGTTTTATTCAATGTAATCACGATTAATGGGACTTTACTTACGAAATTAGAAGGCAAATGCTTTTGGAATTGATTAGGCGCTTTTTGAATCTCAACTGAAAATTCCTGACAGGGAGAAGCGAACAAATTTGGTAGTCAACAGTTGGAATTTCTACTAAAATAAAATTTGACCAAAATCCGTGAGCTAAGAACTAATGTCCTCGTTCACTAGATTTGTACATTATTATGTAAACTATATTAGTATACTGAAGTTAGGCCGAAGTTCTGCATTTATACAGGTTTGATTGAAGGCCGGAGCGTACTTTTTTTAACAACTTTCTTATTGTTTTTTTTGATAAGCCGAACAAAATTATGTAAACAAGTAGTTTGTATACCAACTAGATATTTTATTTGCCCGAACAGGCAAATATTTTTCTATGTATTTAAATGAAAGAAACAAACTTCATCTGTTGAAGTTTTCAACAATCGTTAACATCATATGCTAACTGATCAAAGTCATTGTTCATTTTGTTTGATTAGGCGTTACAACATGAATGCTATTTCATCTATGACTTCGATAAACATAAAATTTTCAAAGGTAAATACCATCGTTTTCAAACTATTCAAATACTGATCAAATCGTCTTCGGAAGATCAGCGCTATTACTTCAGAAAAATTAGCAGACGGCTTGATGATATCAGAAAATATCAAAGAATACTTAGATTCAAGTCATCGCTTAGTGTTGATAATGTTCTCGAATTTCCATGAAGCCGATGAATTAATGAAACAGTGTTATGCTCTTCTCTACATGAAGCCTCGCAACGCTAGCAAAACAAAAATTATAAAATAGACGAATGCAGATTTTAGTTCCTAACAAGGAATTCTTGCTGGAAAACATTTCTGCTGGTATTATTTTGAATTTTACTTGTGCAATAGTACATGGTTTCATGAGTAACTAAGGATATTTTATACAGATATGAAAACTTTTATTTGAATATTCATAACGAGCTTTTCTCTTCAAATGTCGATCGGGGTTTCAGTTAATACATAACAGAAGTCAATGACTATACTCTCGTAAAACGCTGCAACTTACTTAAAAGTGTAATGGAAAATTAATTTCTCATTAAATAAAAAGTAGATGATGACGTAGCCATACTAGCCTCTGTTTTCGTGGTTATTGATATATCAGAAATATTCGTTCATGTTGATGCTGTTATTGTTGCATTGCTGCTGTTTTTATTGATATCGATCGGTGATGCCGTCGTTATATAATAATTAATGTTGCTGTTCTTCCACCATTGATGGATATATTTACGCATTCAAGGACGATAAATCAATCATAAAGTTATTAATAGACGTAGAATTGCATAATAAATGTCCACTAAGCTTTTAAAATATATTGAGAGCTCCAATCAAGCCCAAACAAGTTGAATAACACGTAGGGTAACATGGGGCAGCGAGCCCACTGCGGGTCACGGGCCCATAGCGGGTTTCTCGCTAAGTATGGCAGATATTGGTCCGTGTTCTCTACCGCCGGTCGACAGTTTCACTGGGATAAAGTGTACGGATTTACGTTTTGCTAAATGTTTGCGTTATTAAGTTCTTTGCGAATAACTGTTTTAGTCTAGATAAAAATTTTTTTGCCGCTAAATAAAGTTTTTTTCCATTACTATAAATGAAGATTTTGAAATTACTGTGAATTATTTTTTCAAAGTAATATTTATAGGGATAATTTTGAGACCAAGTTTAGACTATTAGCTTTTAAAATAAAATGTTGACACGACATAAATTGAAATGATACCTATATGGGGCAACGGGCCCACGCGTGTCACGGGGCAAAGCGCCCATGGTGAAGTCTTGTATTATACATCATTAGATTTGTCTCAATGACCTTTTCAAACTATGACTAGCTTTTCGAATTACAAATTACACTTCATATTGCATGATTTTTTTATTTGCCGCCTCAAGGCAGCAGGTTTAGTTTCTAGTTATGCGTATTTATGACCACTTTTCGAGTTATTGACTCTTGCCTTGCCAAAAGTTGATTTCAGTCAACACCAATGAGCCAAAAGTTGATGAGAGTTTTTATGGTGTTGGCTGAAATCACGATTAGGTACAAATTCTCTGCACATAATATCTGGATTATGGACGAAACTGGAACGAAGTTTTTTTCTGATCAACTAAATATATTTTTTCTAGTCAAGGATACATTTTTTCATGTCAAGGACGAATTTTTTATCGCAAAGATATCTTTTTCAAGTCAAGGATATATAATGTTATGTCAATGAAATATTTTTCTTCACGTCAGTGATAGATTTTTTAAGCCAAGAGTATATTTTTTTCAAGTTATGGATATGATTTTTGAGTTGTTAATAAATGAATGAATGTCATTTTTTTATTAAATTTTTCTTATTTTTAACTGTAAAGTGTTGTTTCATCATTTTTAAACGAAAAATATGCAATTGTGGTAAAGGGACCAAGGGTGGGCGCCTTGCCCCAAGCACATGGGCCCATTGCCCCAGGGGTGGGGCAATGGGCCCATTTTGACACTTTTTACAAAATAGTGTTTCATTAAAAATTGAATAACCCTATAGGAGTCTAATTCACATCATACATTCCTCATTAGTTGCACCTTTAAACAAAACAAAGAACCACCTCGTATCAATTAAAACTTCATAAAAAATTTAGTTTAAAAAAAGTGGGGGGCGCGCTGCCCCACGTTGCCCTACGTGTTGGCATCCTAGTTCTTAGTTGAAAGCTATCTCACATTTCAAACTATCTCTAATCCCCTAGGTTTTCACTCTGGATTGTGTATGGACCGTTAGGAACTTCTAGATTCAACAGCGTAGTGTAATTCGAAATTTAGGTGACGCAATCTACGGCCCCTACGTTCATCAGAACTTTACTCGCACGCAGATCAATAACACCCTCATCTGAATATTTCACCAACAACACCTCTGAATAAAAAGAAGATAGATCGTCTAGTGATTCTTAAGTAAAAAATCATCAGAACAATACAAACTGAACGTGAGAAGTCATTCAGATCCTTTTGTCGTTGATTGTCTTACAAAACAGAATAGGTCTGTTAATTTGCGCAATGGGAGATAACAACTACGCGTTAGGGAGAGAGGGAAGGCCATTGAGAGATTCTCGACCCCAAAATGGTGGTTCATTGAAGGGAGAAGATGAACTATATCTGTGCATTGCACAAGCAAGAAATGTTTGGGAGCTGGATTGTAGAGCTCGTTTCCTTAGCTATCATATAGACGAAGTTGTCGATAACGACGAAGATGTTTGAAAAGGTTGTAGATAAATATTTAGGTGCAAGGTAAATATTATGTTTTACATTTCTAGCAAATTATCTGTCATAATATAAACTTAACTAAGAACAAGAAGCAAATAGTAAATATGAAGCAGCCGAGACAGCGTTGCTCGATAAAGGTGTACTCTGAGCTGCCTCAGAATTCCTTTCAATAACATGTGCACGAGAATCAAAGGGAAGTAGTTTCAATTTCAATATCGGGTTCCGATTTTCGAGCCGTATCTAACAGAGTTATCCCGTGTACGAATGTCCGTCAAAATCTAAAATTTCATTGCTCGGTGATCTTCCGATACTACATGTATTATGCAAACGTCATCGTCCTTATTTATTTCTAATGCTAGGCTTCCAAACACAAGGTATGATGATGAAAACTGGTCATAATTAGAATACATATAATTTTTACATAAATATATTGTATATTATATAAAATGTATGACAAATCTTAAAAAGTATGGAAATGTTGAAAAAATGCATGATGAATGCATGAGAAATGTACAGAAAATTTATGAAAAATAAAAAATACTGTATGGAAAATAATTGAAATCAGACAAAAAAAAAAGGTTAAGAATGGAAGTAAAATTTATTGGGAATGTCTAATTTACTGTCCTGGAATAATATTTTGAAGTTTATGCAATAAAATAAATGAAAAATTTTGCGCCATCCTGATGAGTTAGCTCGGAATAAACTGCGCTAATGACAGCATTCTAGCTGATTACATAAAATATGACGATGGAATCCATCATACCATCAGACAAACACCCTCTACAAATTCTGCAGCGTGACATCCGTTGTTTGTCCAGTTGTTGTTAATCCATTTGGACAACGGCATTAATATAATGTAATGTTAGGGCCGTTCACTTCAACTCATTTGCATTATACGTGCCAAAACATTGGTTCTAATTATAATTTGGATGTGGTGATCGACTCCAAATATTAAATACACTATCAATGCACCTGAACTTTCTGCTATTTAGTAACCAATTCAATGCTGTGAAAAAGTTAAAGATTTAGAGCAATTAACGGAGTAAATTGGGATCTTTCAAGCTTTTCGCTTTTGGAGTAGATACAAACATTTTCATTTTTGAACAAGACTGATTGAATTGGTGCCTAACTTTCAACAGTCTGGGGTGCCTGACCTACAAGAGTCTGGGGTGCCTGACCTGCAAGAGTCTGGGGTGCCTGACCTGCAAGAGTCTGGGGTGCCTGACAGAGTCTGGGGTGTCTGACCTGCAAGAGTCTGGGGTGCCGGTAGCGTTCCAGGTGCCGTATGCCTAGTCTGAGGACCTCAGTGACGGTCTCCCTGCGACGAGGCTTGTGCAGTTTGTCCGCACTCCGCTTATCGAACATGAACACCGACACCTCCTGGAGAGTAAAACACAGGTTATAATTACGATGAAGCTGTTTAGAGTGCGAATAAATGATGATTTCCTCGTATTATTGATCATTACCAGACAGTAATTTCATAATCGTTGCTAATTCAACTCTAGGGTTCCAATATAAATATGAAATTATGATGAACTGGGATATACTGGGCTGATTAAGATCTATACCGTTACATCAGTAATGCTTCCTGAGGATACTTAACATCATCAAGCCTAATTAAAGTGCAAAATAAATAGCATGGATGTAATGGACCGCTCCAGTCGATGAAATCATTCATTCCCAATGCATTCATCGTTGGGGCGCTCGGAGCCAGTTTTGGCATCAGGAGTGAGGGAGGCGTGATTGAATGTACATAGAGCTAATATAAGAGCTGCCAGCGGACGATGTTACGAGTAGTTGTCTGTATTTATGTGAAGCGAGAGGTCGTGATTTTATCTTAATTGAGCGAATGTTGCACTCCGATCAATAGACGCCGCTGGGAAGCACCTAGAGCCTTTTCAAGTTACGCCATCGCGCGAAAAATAATGCAGATAGCCTAATCTATCGTTAATATTCTTAGACCTATTAATTGATTATTATTCCGTAGAATTTGTGTATGATAATGAAAAAACAGCAAGGAAATCTTAGACTTTTTGACCTTCATAAGAAGAAACAGATACCTGAATCTCATTTCTACTCTGAAAATTATTTTAAAATGATTACCTTGTTTTGAATATAATCATGAAGTTCAGCAATACCGCGATTACCGCAGCCTTTGATTGGCGTGCCAAGGCTATACCTCAGCAACCAAATTATCGCTTCATTTACGACTTGAATTAATTGTAATTCTCAGCCATGAACTGCAAAGAAGCGGAATATAGTGAAGAAATGACAATCTAGTTTAAGCTTCTCTAATTAGCTTGCTAACTCGTTAGCAAGCTAATTTAATGACCCGAGTTGCTTTGAAACGCATGAATTACATGTAAAAAGGCATTCAAATAACTTTCTGTGAAAAAATCATTTGAAGGGGGTTGCGAGCAAGAAACTAAAAATCAAAATAGAAGCAACAATCGTATGAAGAACTAGGCTGTCGACTAAAGCTTGAATCTTGCCCAGAAAAATGAAGGAAATACGCAGCCTGGGATTTTTTTCAATTGAGAGCAGGAGGGCCACTCGACTGTAATGTAATTGTCCCAATTAAAAGAGTGAGCTTAATTCCCTTGCAAATGAAGAGCTGCACGGACACGCTGAATCAGCTTCGTGAGTTGGGCGTTCCATTTTCATTTGATTTCTTAGGAAACGTTGAAATGGATTTCAGTCTCAAAGAATCAACGCAAATGATACCCAAAATTTTTGTATCAAAATTTAATAGATTGTCAATGCATATTTTAGTTCATTATTATTTGCGAGCAAGCATTGCTTACTTTTTTTACTAATTAATGAATTAATGCGAAGGTTTCCTTAGCCGAAAAATTTCATAACTTCTTCAAGTAGTTATCAAAATATGTCTTATGCAGGGATAGCGGTTCTAATGGCAAATATTTTAAAACAAGCGCATTTTCAAACAAATTAAAAAGCGCTCACTGCATACGAAAAATTTCAATCAATAAATTTATCATAGTAAAATTGCCGGGAAGATTTTGCTTCAGTGTTAGTAAGTTCGAGATTGAACTAATTGACATTGAGCGCTTTCTTATACTTCGTTGACGAGGTATAAGAAAGTGGGCACGGCCACTTATTCAATTTGTATGGGGCTAAAAAATGACCACTTAGGCTCGCTGAAAACAATCGGCGCTGTCATCACGAAAAAAACGGAAAAGTGAGTCGCAAAACTGAATAAAAATGTACAGTGACTGTAGTCAAGAAAAATTATGACAAAATTTCCCTTAATTATGTCAGTACCTGAAGCTTAATAAGGTTTTTGTAAGAGACTGAGCTCCGTAACCATCACCGCATACGATGCTACTTTCCTTGGCAGGTTAAAAATAAGTCCTAGGTAGGTTAAACTTGGGAAGCATATTTTGTTAAACAGTATTTTATATACATCCGGCAAATTCGATGCTTTTTCCTTAAGACTAAATTTACTTTTTAACGGGGCTATTCTGGGCACGGTTTCAACTTAATAACGAAGTCTAAATCTAGTCATTAGTGCTTTTAAATTTCTTCTCGTATCTGCAAAATACGCGAGCAGAGATTCTTGTCCATTAAATAGAAATAAAACTTTAAAGGCACGACTTTGCAAGACGATGCTCTCGCTGAAAAGCTTTCAAGATGGTTCGTTGAGTGGTTGGTTTTTCCGAGAAGAATAAACCTCAGCAGAAATTTATCGATGTTTTACCAGCGGCCAGTAGTCGCTTCTCAAATGGCCACGCAATCGCAAGTGGATATTTTTAATGAGGCTGATAGAGCTTCTCCGACCAGGATATTCCGAGTACTGTCGAGCATAGAATTTTCATTCGAGCAAACCAAGCAAGATGTTCTCGACGATATTGACTGAAAAAAAATTTTCGCTCCTTTTTCTCCCGCTTTAATGACTCACTTTTACTTCATTCGTCATGATAATTCGATTTTTACAAACTTCTTAGATTATTAGAATTTGCTTGTGCACATTTTAAAGAGAAATGACTTTCATATTGATTTTGGAGCATTTGACAAAGATCTCATTTGCCATTTGCTTGAAATTATTTATGTGCTTGGTTACGGATTTCAAGGCCTGTAAATAATTTGACGGTTACTTTGCCAAAGAAAAATTATTCGGAGCCAAAACAAGATTTCTTCAGCCTAAAACGATATTTAATTGTATTTTGTGCTTTAGTAAACTCATCTATAATTTTCGAATTCACACTCCGGAATTATTGAGAACTCTGCCCTCTCAGCCTCGAGCTTTCAGCCGGCATTCCATCCCATATGAGCGCCGCAAACCTGACGCCTCTGCGCATCTAAATCTACGTCGGCCGATGCTTAGGCCTTAGGCCGTCCATCACAGCCATGATTCTGATGCACAATTTGTTTCTAGATCAGTGGGCACGAGGGAGAGATTGTACGCCATATGCAGAGCATCGTAGTTGGTCATTAATCATGCATACACAATTTAATAAAACTCCTTGCAGGAATTTGCTTAGCAAAGCCGGAATGCAGTAGTTAGAAGAGTGTTGGATCACAGAGTAGAGTTTTTAAAAGTTTTTCAGCTGAAAAATAAAAATTAATATGAATAATAAATATTTACTCTTCATAAATATAATGAACTATATGCTCTATTTGATGACACGTTTTAATTTAACTAGCTCGGATCTGTTAACGGTGTTTGAGTTTTAAATAAGTTTTGGCGGTCACGGGCCGTAAATAACCATACAAATACTTGGGAGATTTAAGATGGGTTTACAGCAACGGTTCCCAACAAATGCAATTTTTCCCGAAAAACTAATTCCTTTCTATAATTGCTATGAGGATTCGTGGTAATTTAACGTTCCGCCCCGCGTCGCCCTCAAATTCCTCAGGAGTTTACTTGAATTCCAGGAAACTTCGTAGCGTTTGTCCGACACCAAGTCGCGCGTCTGTCGGGAAGTTTACGACCACGTTCCTGTACTTAGAGTTCTTAACACGGCAACGGCTGCAACTTTATTTGGCTAAGGTTGAGGAAAGTTCTTTCATTTTGAGTGAAAAACTTTCGACCATGTTGTGGTTCGGTAGCTTTGATAAAAGTCGAGACCAGAGGTAAACAATCAGAAACAACGAGATTTAATTAAAACTATTAACCGCAGACGATGTGCTTACTTTAAGGTGAAAATTTACAAAAAAATTAAATCTAGTCACACTAATGAATACTTCCCTGAACTCTCATAGAAGCATCTGAGATTTCCTCTTTGAAAGTGCATTATTGATTTATTTGATCATTCATTGTCAATCTTGCGATACTCTAGATTTTTTTGAAATTTTATCAATTTACAGCTATCAACATTCCTTGTTACGTATAATCATTTGCGAAGAATTAAAAACACGATTCTTAGTTCTGATATTTTATTAAAATCGTTTCTATAAATGCAAACTAAATGCTTAGAAAATTAGCAATATAACAGTAGTGTTGTAATTAAGGTATCACTGAAAAGTGGAATAATTTATTTTGAGCATAGTACACGACCTAAAAACAGTTGTACGTGGTGAAATAAAACTTCAGACTTAATAAATTCGCGCCAAATTTGTCCGTCTCTTTGGTCCAGAGCCAGCACCAAACTAAAACTTGAGATGCTGACTGAATAGACTACAGGAATTTTGTACATAACACACATGCCACAGGCGGAAAAAATATATAAAATGTGCATTTGAGAACTAGGTATTCAACATGCCATATCTCGCCATCCAAAAGCCTTTCCATCCGCCATCAAACAGATTTAAATACTCATTAAAAGCTTCACAAATGTTGAAGTATCAAGCGTATGTTTGGCGAGTAAAAACATTTTCCGAGCCGGTTTAATCACGAAGAATACAATTGAATTTTCTATCATACTCATTACAACGGATTAAAAGACGGGTAAACTTTTGTTGAGCTGGGCCCATCTCAAATGCAAAGCTCGTCGACTGCCGTGCCGAGGTTATCGGAGAGCGGTGGCGGAAGTTTGTGGCTGTTTTCTGATGCGCGTAATTGCGTGCGCCATAGTGGCCTAATATATGCTCGACGAGAGCGAGTTTTCCGCCTCAAGGATTTCAAGGAGGGTCGTTTACCAAACACCATATAGCTTGTGGACGATCTCGGCATAAAACCAGTCGCCTCCCGATACTTTTCTTATGGTACTAAGGCGGAAGATTTTGGCAGGCTGATTTTATGTGGCAGATTTTGTATGATAACAAGCGTGAGATTCTCATGAGAATGAGGCTCCTGCAAGATGGCCGTTTACTCAGTGCCCGGTTTTACATTTACCAATAATTTATTTCTCTTATATCTAACTGATGAATAAGTAGACCTACTTGGCTATCTAATTTTCAATTGATCTTTCTGTTCCAAA